CCCCTTTCCAATGAGGAGTCTAAGGCCCAGAAAGCAAAGGTGATTTGCCCAAAGGCACACATTTACTTAATTACCAGAAAGGATTTATGGAGCAGTTGTCTCCATGTGGGAGGGCACTCTAGGTTTTGAGTGTGTAGTTAATTTCAGAAATGCTGAGACAGTCTCAAAATGAAGTTACTTTTAAGTTCTTGTTATTTACAACCTTGTTACACAAAATGTGGTCTGTGGACTGGTGGCACCAGCTGCACCAGCAGCTCCCTGTGAGCTTGATAAAAATACAGGATCTTAAGCCTCCCCCAAACCTTGAATCAGAATCTGCATGGTAACAAGTCTCCTAGGTGGTTGTATGAGAAACTCTTGTTTGACAGATGAACTTGTTAGCTGCATATTGAGAAAGAGGAGTGAAAACAGATTAAATATTGGGCTGATGGAGCTCCTAAAAAGGGAAGAATCAGGGTTTCCCTTGAGTGGGTCAGTCATTGTAATACTTGTTTTTCCCAGCCCTTAGGGTTTCCAAATAGAAAATTTAGCAGATGGGCAATTGAATAGTACAGTGTGGTAGGTTATAATCAACATTCGGTGCTATTGTGTTCAAGAAAAAGTAAGGTTTTTCTTAGTTGATGAAGGAGCAGAAGAGGAATCTTGCGTAGCTTCTGACCTGGGGAATGGCAAGAGAGTGTTAGAGGCCTGGAATCCCTGAGGTTGGGATGGGGGAGATGGGCAGTGCCAACCTTCCTGATGTGATTCTGTATTTGCCAGTGACGTTGCCCGCCACCATCATGACATCATCTGTACCCACAACTGTGGGTGGCCACATGATGTACCCCAGCCCCCACGCGGTGATGTATGCACCCACCTCGGGCCTGGCTGATGGCAGCCTCACCGTGCTCAATGCCTTTTCCCAGGCACCATCCACCATGCAGGTGTCCCATAGCCAGGTCCAGGAGCAAGGTGAGTGTGGAGGGTTGGGGCTGAGGAAAGAAAGACCATTGCCTCCCTTATACCAACTCAGATGCCTTCCAGACAGACACACACATACACACTGACTCAGATGCCACCCACATCTCTCTCTCCCTCCCCCTTCCTCCCTCCCTCTCTCTCTCTCTCTCTCTCTCTCTCTCATACATTTACACAGATGCCCAGGCACATACACTCAGACATCATGGTCACTTGGATGCTCATGCCCACCTACACCCTCAGACACACTTGGATGCCCACACCAACAGGCATCCTTGGGTACTTAACATCTAAGGCTCACCTGGTCATGTGTTCATTTATCACCCCTTCCCTAGTATCTGGAAATTTCTCTTGAGCAAGTGATTTGACTGTCTCCTGTGGTTTTCCAATGCAGGTGGTGTCCCCCAGGTGTTCTTAACAGCACCCTCTGGGACAGTACAGATTCCTGTTTCTGCTGTTCAGCTTCACCAGGTAGGTGGGGCATAATTCACCCTATCCCAGCCAGGCATTTCTCTGTCTTGACCTTAGGGGGACCTCATTACCTACTGGTCAAAGCTAGAATCTCTAGCCAGGAGGCCTATCTGTTTTCCTGGTCAGGCCTGTGGCAGACATGCAAGCAAGCAGGTGGGAGCTGGAGCTGGCTGGTCAGTTCCTGCCTCTTCTCATATACCCACTTCCCTCCAGATGGCTGTGATAGGGCAGCAGGCCGGGAGCAGCAGCAACCTCACCGAGCTACAGGTGGTGAACCTGGACGCCACCCACAGCACCAAGAGTGACTGATCCGTCCCGCCACCCTGGACAGATGGCCCAAGGGATGGCACCACTTATTTATTGTTGCCTTTTCACGTTTTCTTTATACACATGTTGACGGGCCGGAGGAGGGAGGTGGGGAGGAGGAGTGGGCAGCCACAGGACTGAGCCCTCTCACTCCAGCCAAAGAAATGGGCCTGCCCGCCCTCCGCCCTGTCCTCCCTCCCTCTCCCCACTTCTCGCTCCACCTCCCATTTCTGTTGATGGTGGGGCTGCCCTCCCCTGTCAAACTCCTCTCGCCAGCTTGGCTCGATGTTTGCCATGAGTATTAGCTACACCCAATGGGACCGTGCCCACACACAGGCCTTCTGTGGGACTAGGCATTGTGTCCACCCCTCCACCCCCCGAGGAAGCAGTTGGGGTCCTCTCCCTAGCCTCCTTGCTGACCCAGGTCAGCACTGTGTCTGCCACGGGCTGGGTGAAATGAGCCTTGCCACTGCCCCTCAGGGAGCCAGCTGGGGAGGTAGGAGGCCTCTTTTCTCCTGCTGCCAACCTATGCCCCTTCAGCTCCCGAGTAGCTGGGCCTGTGCACTGGGCAGGTTCCTGGGGCCACCTGCCCTGCCTTGCCTGTCCCCTTGGACCTCCAGGGGCTCCTGGGATGGAGGGAACCACCAGTGTTCCCTTCTCCCACTTGTCTTCCCCCTCCCCCCAGCTGCTTTACTTAAAAGTTGATTTTGAACTTTTTATTTGAGGAGAGAAAGTGAAAACAAATCTATAAATATATATTTTTAAAATATTTAACTTTTTTTTATGGCGTTTTTCTTGTCCCCCTCCCTGCCCAAACTCCCCTTCCCTGGGGAGCCCTTGGGCTCCCCAGAACTGGCTGGGCCCCTGGGGATAGAGCTACCCCATGAGCTTGGGGCCTGTCAGTGTGGGGGGGAGATTCTGGGATTGCCCGGTCCTGGATTATTTCCAGGAGAAAGCCGGGAGAGGGGCCCTCAGGCCATGCCCCGATGGGGTGGGGAGGGTGACCCATAGTTCTGGGCTTCTTTTTGCCCTGTAGGGTGTTGCTAGGGAGAAGGAAGAGGGAGACCAAATGTGGGGGTGGGGTGGGGGAGGGTGTCAGGTAGAGGCAACTGACTTCATTTGTGCCACACGCATGGGCATTGCAGCCTTGTGCTTCCCTGGCCTGCAGATGCCTGGGGTCCAAGTTGCAGTGAGCAGGGTGGGGTCTGGGAGGGGTGAGAGGCAGGAATGGGGGTCAGAAGTAGGAGAGGCTCTTGGGCTGAGTACAGCACAGGGGAGCCAGAAATAGGCAGCTCTCCCAGGGAGTGAGCAGCTACTGTAACTTTTTTAAATTAAGACAAAAAGCCTTGAAGAAAATGACTTTATTTTTCTAAGTGTAACCTCAGTATTTATGTAATTTGTACAGGGGCCGTGCCCCACCCCCTTCACCCCCTTTGGGGTAGACCTTGAGGGTTGGCCTGCATAGGGGAGGGTCTTTTACCCTGTGTCAGAGCCTGCTTTACCACCTATATCCAGAAAGGGAGCTTTTTCAGAAACAGGGCAGCAGTTGGGGTAGAGTTTTATTAACCCTTTATGACTGCCTTCAGTAGTAACAAGCCTGCTTCTGTGATTAGGTGAAGGGGTGGGGGAAGATTTTACCTACAGCCTACTTATCAAGGGGATGATTTGCTGACATGTTTGAGAACCCCCTAACCTCTAACCCCCACTGTTGTCTTGCCCCATTTTGGGGTGGCAAGATACAAGTCACCTTTCTAGGCTTTTCTCCTAGAGATAGCTGGGGCTTATGGGTGGCTTTTAAGGCTGGGGCATGGCAAAGCAGGGGCCAGAGAGTGGGGGTGCCTGGGACTCAGGTCTGTAACTGCCCAGCCCCTTTTCTCTGCTCTTGTTTCACTCCACCACCACCACTCACTCACTCCCCACTCCCCCACCCATGGGAGGAGACTGATGAATTCCTCCTCTCCTTCCCACAAAAGACAGACCCAGTGAGTGAATCAGGCAAAGTGTTTTAATGTGTGTTGTGTGAGCGTGGCCTTGTGAGAACGTGTGCATCAGGGATGAGGTGGCATTTATACGTGCAGCAACCCTTGGTGTTCCCTTTCCTTGGTGGCTCTGGGGTGTATGTGTGTGTGTGTGCGTGCGTGTGTGTGCATGCGCGTGCCTGAGTGCAAGTGTGTGTGATTGTAGGATGTGTATGTCAGTGGTTTCTACTTCCCCTGGGATGCGACCCAGGATTAGTAGACATGGTCACAGTCCTATGTACAAAGCTTTCTTTTGTATTAAAAAAAAAAAAAGAAAAGAAAAAATACTCTTTCAATAAATGTATCATTTTTGTGCACAGACTGTGGGGTCTTTGGCTCTGTTTTTCCACACAGGGAGGGAGGGAGGGAGGGAGAAAGGGAGGTATAAACATGAAACAAACCCCCAAATTTGCTGCTCCTAATTAGAGGCAAGCCAGGAGCTCTGGTAGTGAAGTGCCTAAGGCACTAGGCTGCTAATCAGAAGGTTGGCCATTCAAACCCACCAGCTACTGCTTGGAAGGAAGGTTGGGCAATCTACTTCCATAGTGATACCGCCTTGAAAACCCAAGGAGGGGTCGCTATGAGTTGGATCCAACTCAAGGGCAGTCAGTTCAGTTCAGAGGCAAGCCCGGTTGCCTGATGAAAACTGAAATGCTAAGGGGTAGTGAGGGCCGTTGAACCGTTTAATTAAATTTAACGAACATTTTTTGGGAGGAAGTCTTTCTCCCTTTGTAGAGTTTTGCGAGGTGCTAAGATCAACAGGAACAGGCGCAATTTTAATTAGGAGAAAAGGAGACACAGCTAACTCAAGGCATTACTGAGGGTTTTGGGAGACGCATGGACACATGACCTACTGAAAAAGGACAGCCCTAGAGTGGGTGTATAGGGTAGGGCTGTGATTTGGGTTCCTAGGTTTCAAGACGAGTGGATATTAGAATGGGGGTGAAGAAGGCCGACCTTCTTTAGGAGGTCTTTAAAATTTACCGTGGATAGGAAGAGCTGACTACTCAACCTGAAGTGAGAGTAGTCTGACCTCCAATCCCAGGCTCGGCCTGCATCGCTCCCGCTCTTGCCCTTCTCCCCAATGCCGCCGCCACGGGTACTACGCATGCTCCGCCCGCACACTGTTCTGCCACGCTCGGTTGTGGCCCGCGATGGGACCCGTAGCTGCCTGGCCGTGCGTATACTGGTGGTGTGACCCGGAAGGGAGCTGCTGAAAGGCGGGGCCAGGACGGCGGGACCGGCCGCTGGGTCCCAGCGAGGGCCAAACCGGGCGGTGGGAGGTGAGAGGAGAGAGAGTTCTGCATCGATCCGGCCCCTCCCTGATCCTTTCCAGGTCCTCTCGAGTCCCTTTACCCCGCAGCAGACGAAGGGAGCCCGGTCTTGCTTTCTGACTCGTTCGGACCTGTCAGACTCCTTGGACCGACCGCACCCCCACCCCATCCCCACCCCGCCCCCCCAGACCTGTTCCCACTGCCAGTACTGGCTTCTTCCACCGCTCCTGTTGGTCTGCAAGCTAGGGCCTGACCTTGCTTGTCTGCGCTTGCGTGCTGGCCCCATCCGAGTCCAGGCCTCACCTGTACACAGCTCAATTTGTTGCCCCTAGGCCACCTTACGGAGCAGTTCCCCCTCCCCCAATTGAGGCCTGTTTTATTTATCCATCCTGTACTAATCAGGAGCGCATCACCACATCACTGGCAACCTCTCAGTAGTCCTTCAAGCTACCTGGACCCCTACCCCCATCCAGGTCCACATCTTTCAGTTCCCCTCCCCTGTACTCTTCTACTCTAATCTGTCTCTACAACCCTGCATGACCTCTTCTCTGTCTGGTTTTCCCTTCCATTTCTTACTCTCACCATTCCCTGCTGCCCTCGCACCTCCTTCACATCACGCATATCCTGATGACCAACATAGCCATTACCCGATTCCCATTTATAATTTCCATCTGACTAGTATCTCTCCATTTATTTGCTCCTATCTCTCCCATCTACAAATAAAGTGTTAGGTCGTGTTTGCTGAGCACTCACCATGTTCTAAGTGCACTGTTCTAGTGCATTATGTACGTGATCTTATTAAATCTTTACCACAACTTTGGTAGATATGAGGTTTTGCAGGTGAGGAACCTGAGACTTAGCGATTAAGTAACTTGTCCAAACCCACTGCTATCAAGTCGGTTCTGACTCATTGTGACCCTTTAGGACAGGCTAGAACTGCCCCATGGAGTTTCCAAGGCTGAAAATTTTTACAGAAGCAGACTGCCTCATTTTTCTCCTGTGGTGTGACTGGTGGGTTTGAACTGCCAGTCTTTTGGTTGGCAGCCAAATGCTTTAACCACTATGATACAAGAGCTCCTAACTTGTCCAAAGTTATGCAAATAGTAAATCAAAGAGTACAGAAAGTCACATTTACCTGACTCTGAAATTGCTACTATATTGCCTCTCTGATAAAATCCCTACAATTTTCTGGCCTTATTCCTTGCTCTGCTGCCCCATAATTAACATCTCCATCTATGTCTACCTTACTTAGGTCTTCACCATACATACAGCATAAATGTGGAGTGGGACCTGGTCATTTTTCCCCTAATTTTATCTGACCCTTAGGCTCTTTCCCCTCCACAGTACTCTCATACAGGTATATTCCCCATGCAGGCATATCCCAATTTCCTTTCCATCTCCTTTGTATCTGCCATGGTCTACCCTTTTATACACATTCTAGCTCTGCCCTACCATTTATACTCCCTGTCCTGCCCCTCCTTGATCTTGACTTCCTCATATGTTCTGGCTCCACCATCACACATGCTGCTGTCCTTTCTGCTCAACCAGACCATCCTTCTAAGTCCTGATGGGTATCCCTCAGCCACCCTGTTCCTCTGCCCAGATTGTCCAGCTTGACTGTCACTCTCCTTTCTATTACTTTGTCTCTGACTCGTCTCATTCTCTTCCTTGTAACCTCTGCCATTTTTAAAACCCGTCTTTCAACCCCTTGCTGTTTTCACTCCATGCTCCTTCTTTTATAAATCCCAGAGTGTGTTTAGCTATTTATTCCATACTGTTTCTGACCTTTTCTCTTTGACCCCTGAATTCTGCATACAACCTACCAGTCACCATTCTGTCTGTCACAAAATTCCATCCCCTCCATGTAGTACTTTTTTTTTTTTCCTATACTGCTTTTATCTTTCTTCTTGTCCTAGGAGGTCAGGATGGTGGGGGAACAATGCGCCAGGGACCTCATGGTGCCCTTAGGGTCCCAGCTGCAAGCATTTCCCGAAGAACTTCTTCGACAGCGGCTTGGGCACGATGGACGTCCTGAATATCTGATCCGATGGAGTGTCCTGAAGTGTGGGGAAGTGGGCAGAGTGGGTGTGAACTCTGAGGACAAGGCAGAGCATATCCTCATGTGGCTGTCAGCTCCTGAAGTCTATGCCAACTGCCCCATGCTGTTAGGTGAGCGGGCACTATCTAAGAGGCCTCAGCACGAACCAGTTGTGGGTTCAGGAAGCTTTCCCCGAGACCCAAGAGGCCTTGATGAAGTGGCAATGGGAGAGATGGAGGCGGATGTCCGGGCACTGGTACACAGGGCTGCTCGGCAGCTGGCAGAAGGTGGGGTCTCGAGCCTTACCACCTCTGTGCTCCACACCATCCACGTGCTGAGTGCCTATGCCAGCATTGGACCCCTCACTGGGGTCTTCAGGGAGACAGGTGCCCTGGACCTGCTCATGCAGATGTTATGCAACCCTGAGCCTCAGATCCGTCGGAGTGCTGGCAAGATGCTGCAGGCTCTGGCAGCCCACGATGCTGGTAAGAGACAGCCAGGGAGGAAGGAAGCACTGGAGAGAAAGGGGCCACGAGAGTAAGAACAGAAATGATGAGGAGAGAGTTCCCAGCTTTGTAAGAGAACAGTGTTTGGTGAATTTCAATTCAATGCAAAGGAAAAATAGATTAATAGACTATTACAGATATTGTATGAACAGGATAAAATGCTAGCCCCTGGTTTATCTGTTCATTCTCAGTATAATGGCAGAGCAGAGAATAAGTTTGTGATTTTTCAGCTGTAGGTTGAGATTCATTAGTTGGTTGTGCAGTCAGCCTGGTGAGTGATAGCATTTTAAAAAAAAAGTATCAATGCTTATCACTTAGTAAAGGTAATCTTTGGAGCATGAAAGTATTTTGGTTATGTGTATGTGTTTGATCTGGATTACAGTGTAAAATGTATTTATCATTGTGAGTCTCAGTCACAAAGACATTTGAAAGTCTCTGAGCTAAGGAATAGAGAGTCTAGGGAAGGCACGGAGAAAGTATTGGGGAGGCAGGAGAAGTTACTGATTGGGTATGAATTACAGGGAGTCGGGCCCATGTCCTTCTGTCGCTGAGCCAGCAGGATGGCATTGAGCAGCACATGGACTTTGACAGTCGCTATACTTTGCTGGAGCTGTTTGCAGAGACTACATCCTCTGAAGAACATTGCATGGCCTTTGAGGGCATTCATCTGCCTCAGGTACTCTAGCAGCTGTGGGGGAAGTGCTGTGTACGAGACCTAGGGTACTCATTTCTGAAAATGGGGTTCAGGGCTGTGCAGCAGCCCTAGAGCCACCTGGGGGAACTGGTTAAAGTGAAGGTTCATGCCCCCTTCCCCACCCTAGACTTTCTTAGAATCTCTGAGATTGGGGCCCAGGAATCTGTGTTTTAAGACATTCCCTGTGTTTTTCTTACTCAAACCACAGTTTGGGAACTACAGGCCTAAGGATGAGGCCTATACAGTTTCTGTAGAAAATGATGTTGAAGGGGAAGAGGAGGGGCTAAAGCTTGAAGAATGTGAACCTAGGACAAGGATTGTATCCTGCAGATTCCAGGAAAGCTGCTCTTCTCCCTGGTGAAGCGCTACCTATGTGTCACTTCCCTGCTGGATCAGCTGAATAATAGTCCAGAGCCAGGGGCCGGAGACTGTGGCTTCCACTCCACCACCAGAGAGGAGTTCAGCGGGGAGAAAAGCCGGGGGCAGCGGGAGCTGGAGTTCAGTATGGCTGTGGGCAACCTCATCTCAGAGCTGGTGCGGAGCATGGGCTGGGCCCGGAACCTCAGTGAACACGGCACGTCGCCACCCCGGCCAACCCGATCCATTTTTCAGCCCAGCATTACGGGCTCCAACCTTTTACTCCCCACCATTGTCACCACTGCTAGAAGGCAAGGGCGGGCTTTCCGCCAGCGTTCTGAGTTCTCAAGCCGTAGTGGCTATGGTGAGTATGTGCAGCAGACGTTGAAGCTGGGGATGCGAGTGCGCATGCTGGACGATTACGAGGAGATCAGTGCCAGGGACGAGGGTGAGTTCCGGCAGAGCAACAGCGGCGTGCCCCCTGTGCAGGTGAGTGAGTGCATGGTGGTGGCACACTGTGGGGACATGGCTGGAGCTTCCGTGCAGGGGGCTTAGGCTGGCCACTCAAGAGGAGCAAACCCCTGAAGAGACTGGGATATTAAAAGGGGGTTAACAATTGACCCCTCAGGGTGGAGAAAAGCCATTTGAAGGGCTGAGAGAATCTTGGAGGAGCTGTGAAGTCAGGTAGAGACCACACACCCAGGGAGCAGAAATCAGTGTAGCAAGACCCCTCCTCCTCAGGAAGTAAGGGTAAGGGAGACCAGTGATGGAGGCTAGGAGGGAGTGTTAGAACATGATGATTAGGAAGGGATGGGGCAAGAGACGTTCTGCTACATGGAAGTTTTCCCAAACCTGGCCAGGTGTGTTTCTGAGGGTTGTGTGCCCCAGATCTGGGCCCAGCCATGTCTTCTGAAACCCTCACAGCTTAGGGCTCAGAGGGGTCAAGCACTCTCTATTCTCCTTCCCCCTTTCTTCCTCCCTTTATACCAGGTCTTCTGGCAGTCGACGGGCCGCACCTACTGGGTGCACTGGCATATGTTGGAGATCCTGGGTCCTGAGGAAGCTGCTGAAGATAAGCCTTCAGCAGCTGTGGAGAAGGGGGCAGGGGCAACTATGTTGGGCACAGGTGAGCTTAGGAGGGGACACAGACAGATGTCTCTGAATGGAGGAGTAGTGACTGAGATGAAGCCACTCCTGACCAGGAACAGCCTCGGGCTCAGAAATCTCTATTTCTGAGGGATACTGATGGCCCTATGCCTCTGTCCTTAGCAGTTCCCTCCTGGGACTGGAACCCTATGGATGGGCTCTACTCTCTGCCATACCTCCAGCCTGAGCCTCGGAAGAATGAGGAATTGGGATACCTGACCCAGGCTGAGTGGTGGGAGCTGCTGTTCTTCATCAAAAAGTTGGACATATGTGAGCAGCAGCCAATTTTCCAGAATCTTCAGGAGAATCTGGATGAGGTATTATTTATAGGCCTGAGATAGCTGGGGTTAGAGGCTGCATTCTCTAGACGGAGTTCTAGACACGGGACACCATTTAGGGGTAACTGAAACTAGAGGTTAGAGAGTATGAGGGGTCTTGCGGGGGTAGGGAGGAGGTGTTATGAGGGTCTGGTACATAGAAGGTATGCAGAGTATGGCAGGGAGTGGCTGTCCTTCCTATTACTATCTCAGGACTTTGGTGTCTACTTCTCCCTGAAATGCACACCCCTTTCTGTTGCAGACCCTGGGTGAAAAGCCCCTAGGGGAGATCTCCGTATCCATAGAGAAGGCTGAGGGCCTGCTGCAGGTTCTCCGTAATCGCTTTGAGGGCAGCCTCCTCAGTGATCTGCTCAACTCCCAGATCTACACCAAGTATGGGCTGCTACCTGAGGAACTAAGCAGCTTGTCATCTTCCCGAAGTCACTCCTGTACTCCAGATCCAGAAGAGTTCAAGTCAGAGGCCAACTTCTCAGAGGAAGAGTCTGAGTCCCCCAAAGCAAAGGCTGAGCCCCCTGAGGCAGAGGCTGAACCCACCCAGGTGAAAGCTGAGCTTCCCATGGCACAGAGTGATTCACAACTGTTTAACCAGCTTCTGGTGACTGAGGGAATGGATCTGCCCCCCGAGATGAAGGAGGCAGCCACTGGTGAGTCAGGTCACAGGAGGGGAGGTTTAAGAAGTTGGAACAAGTCAGGTTAAAGGGAAGACCATGGAGTAATGTCACTGTTGCATGGGAAAATGCCTGAGAACCATGTATCCATCTTCTTCCCTTTAGACCTTGATTTTATTTAATTAACCATCACTCCCTCTTTCCAGTATCCCTGACCAAGGAGGGTCCCTTTTCCAGGGTATCATCATCTTCATTATTTGACCATTAGATCCCTTACACAAAATGGGGAATGTTGTAAATGCAGGCCACAGTATGAATAATGTTGCATTTAAATATCAGTGGGGTAATTGGGTTTGACCTTTATAAGCTTTCCAATTCAGAGGTGCCACAATTCTTTTAGCCACTGCCTTTCTCCCACAATTTCAGAAATGGCTAGAGCCTTGCGGGGTCCTGGTCCGCGAAGTTCCCTGGATCAGCATGTGGCAGCGGTCGTGGCCACTGTGCAGATATCCAGCTTGGACACAAACCTGCAGCTTTCAGGGCTCTATGCCCTCTCTCAGGCTGTGGAAGAGGTCACTGAGCGGGACCACCCTTTGGTCCATCCTGACAGATCCCTGAGGTCAGAATGTTGGAGAGGGAAGAGGTGTTGGTTTAAATGGTGAGGAAGCAGTGGTAGACAGGGAAGGCACTGTTACATCAAGATTTAGAAAGGCAGGGTGTGAAAGGAGAGCCTGAGAAATAGCTGAGTGGGAGGATGGGATTTTATGATGGCTGTATTTTTTTAGCACTTACCCTGTGCTTGGTGTTTTACATGCATTCTCTCATTAAACCTGCCTAACACTTGAGGAGGAGTTGACACTTACTATCCCACTGTATGGATGAGGAAACTGAGACTTAGAGAATTTAAGTAACTTGTTCAGAATCTTACAGATGGCAGAGCCAGGATTCAAACCTAGGTCCTTTTGGCTCTATAGTTTGAGTTTTTTTTCTGTTTTTATTCTTTCCCCTTCCCCATAATTTCTTTTAAAGATTTTACATATTTCTTTCTTTTTTTTTTTAATTGTGATTTGGGTGAAAGTTTACAGAGCAAATTCACTTTCCATACAGCAGTTCACACACCTTGTCTCATGACATTGACTACAATTTACCCCAATGCAATAGCTCCCCCGCAATTCTCCCAATAGCTACCTCTTCCCTGTGTCCATCTCTACATGAACTCCTGCCCCCTGAGCTGTCTCGCTGTGCATAAACAACCCTTCTTTCTCCCATGATTGTATCTCCCAAGGAGTGTATCTACCTCAGGTACATGTTCAACTCATATGCCTGTCTTTTGTTTGGCTGGAAGCCACAGGTGTAGGTTCAAGTCCAGACCTGAAGGGCAGCTGGGGACCATAGTCTCAGTGGTTCCACCAGACTCTGTCAGACCAACAAAACTGGTCCCCCTTTTTTTTGTTTTATTTTTTCCAAATTATTTTGAGTTTTGTTCCACATAGATTTTACATATTTCTTAATTACAGAAATAATATATGAATGCATTCTCATTTTAAAAACCAGAAGAACATGACCATAGAATGCAGCCAAACTCCCTTTTCAATTATCATCAGTCTGGAGTATATCCTTCAGTTCTGTATACTTACATTTATAATTGTGTGTTTGGAGATAGAAAATTTTCTCAGTTTGTTTTAACATATGTAATCACACTACATGTTTCTTTTTTTCCCACTCTGTCTTGGAGGGCTTTCCATGTCAGTCTACATAGAGCTGCCTCATTATTTTCACTGCTGCATAGGACTCTAGGTTATGGTTATATTCACGTTCAAATGCAATGTTACAATAAATCAGTTTTCCCTCATCCCCTGCCAACACTTGATATTCTCTTTTTTAAATCTCTCAGACTGGCAAAATTTAAAATGATTCGTATTTTGTTTAAATTGCTTAGTTTTTTTTTTTTTAGGATTTGGGTGAAGATTTACAGAGTAAATTCACTTTTCATACAGCAGTTCACATATACTTTGTCTCATGTCATTGACCAAAATTTACAATGCAGCAGCGCCCCTCCCACTTCCTCCCCATAGTTAACCTCCTCCCAGTGTCCATCCCTTCATACTCTTCTGCACCCTGAGCTGTCTCCCTGTGCATAAGCAGCCCTTCCTTCTCCCATGATTGTTCTCTCCAGGGCGTGTGTCTACTTGAGGTAAATGTTTAACTCACATGCCTGTACTTTGTTTGGCTGGAAACCACAGGTGTGGGTTCAATTCCAGACCTGAAGGGCAGCTAGGGGCCATAGTCTCAGTGGTTCCACCAGGCTCTATTGGACCAGCAAACCTGGTCCCCACCTTCTTTTTTTTTTGCCACCAAATCATTTTGAGTTTTGTTCCACATTGTTCTCCCTCTTTCCCTTCCAAGTGGATAGCAGTGGTAGCTGGGCACCATCTAGTTCTTCTGGTCTCATGGTTGTATAGGTTGCAGATCGGATGGTGTACCAGTCGCTAGGACTGATTGTTTCCATTAATTTTGGTTTTCTTCTTTCTTCTTGATGAGGAGAGACCCGTTGTTACATCTAGATGGCAGCTTCCTAGCTTTTAAGGTCCCAGTCGCTACTCGCCAAAGTAGTAGGTGGAACAATGTTTTGTATAGTATGTTATGCCAATTGAGCTTGATGTCCCCTGCGACCATGGTCCCAAGCTCGCAGGATCAACTACTCGGTCCCTCTGGGTAGCTGGCTGTGACCAAGCATAAATTGCTTAGTTCTGATGAAGTTAGGCCTATTTGCATGAATCTGTTCTTCATGTTTCTTCTTCTGTAAATATTCTGTTCTTGTCCTTTCCCCGCTTTCTTATTGTGTCTTTGTCCTCTCTTATTGATGTATATGCATTCTTTATATGTACTGAAAAGTAATCTTTTATTATTTAATTTCAAATGTTTATTTAAAATCTTATTAGCTTTATTTTTCTGATTATAAAAATAATGCAAGGTAAAACAAGGGGAGAGATTGAAACAGTAACAAAAAAAACTTCAACAAAAAAAAGTTCAGGATCTGATGCCTTCAGTGGTGAATTCTACCACATATTCAAAGAAGAATTAGCAACAGTTCTTCTCAAACTGTACCAAAAAATAGAGCAGGAAAGAATGTTTCCTCATTCATTCTAAAAAGCCAGTATTACCTTGATAGCAAAGTCTGATAAAGACATTGCAAGAAAATAAAACTACAGACCACTATCCGTTGTAAATACATATGCAGAAATCCTCAACAAAATACTGGCAAACTGAATGCAACAGCAGATTTAAAAGATTACACACCATGACCAAGTGGCATTTATCCCAGGAATGCAAAGGTGGCTCAATGTAAGAAAAATCAATCATTGTAATATACCACATTAATAGCCTGAATGAAAAAAACCACATGATCATCTTGATGCAGAAAAGGCATTTGACAAAATCCAGTACCTCTTCATCATAGAAATAGTCAGAACACTAGGAATAGAAGGGAAATTCCTGAACCACAGTAAAGGGCATTATGAAAAACCCACAGTGACTTTCATACCAATTAGTGAAAGACTGAAAATTCTCCCCCTGAAGATCAAGAGCAAGACAAGGATGCCTGCTTTCACCACTGCATTTCAGCATTGTCCTGGAAGTCCTGTTGTTGCTGTTATGTTGTTACGTGCCGTCGAGTCGGCCCCAACTCATAGCGACCCCTCCTTGGGTTTCTAAGGCAGTATCACTACGGAAGTAGATTGCCCAACCTTCCTTCTGAGGAGTTTTGAACCGCCAGTCTTCTGGTTAGCAGTCAAGTGCCTTAGGCACTACATTACCAGAGCTCTTCTGGAAGTCCTAGCCAAAATAATTAAGCAAGAAAAAGAACTAAAAAGTATTCATATTGGAAGAGAAGAAGTAAAAATGTCTCTATTTGCATTTGATAAATAAAAGTCCTAAAGGATGCGTAAGAAAGCTACTAGAACTAGTCAATGAAGTCAGCAAAGTTATAGGGTACAAGATCAATACACAGAAAACACTTGTGTTTCTGTACACCAGCAAAGAGCAATCTGAAAAAGAAATTAAGAAAATACTTTCTTTTACAATGACATCTGAAACAATAAAATACCTAGGAATAGATTTAACTGAGGAGGTGAAGACCTTTATACTGAAAGCTATAAAACTGCTGAAAGAAATTAAAGGAGATCTACATAAATAGAAAGATATCTTGTCTTCATGGATTGGAGGCCAATAATGTTAAGATGTCAATTCTAGCAAAAATGATTTACAGATTCCTATTAAAATTCCAACAGCCTTTTTGCAGAAATGGAAAAGCTGATCCTCAGATTCATATGGAATTGCAAGGGACACCAAAAAGCCAAAACGACTTGGGGGAAAAAAGAACAAAGTAGGAGGACTCATACTTCCCAATTTCAAAATACATTACAAAGCTACAGTAATCAAAAGAATGTGGTACTAAAGTGCAGTGGATTGCTTAGTAAGGTCCTTTTAGCCATGGTCCTCGTCTTGTGATATATTATAAATCCTAGTCTCTATGTTGGAGCTCTGGTAGCATTGTGGCTAAGGCACTTGACTGCTAACCAGAAGGCTGGTGGTTCATACCTACCAGCCACTCCTCGGAAGGAAGATGAGGCAATCTACTTCCGTAGTGATGCTGCCTCGGAAACCCAAGGAAGGGTCGCTATGAGTCGGGTCTGACTCGACAGCACACAACAACAACAACAGTCTCTATGTCTGTTTAGGGTGGGAAGTATCTTGAGTCCTGCCTTGCTGGAGGTTGTGACTCAAGTCACCACCCTTAGCTTCCTTGAGGGTATATATGTGAATGTTCTGGGAAAGTTCTCTCTCCTGCTCCAGTCCTGCATTTGGTTCATCATTATCTGACCTGTGGACTTGAGACAGCAGCTGTTCACCTGACCCATCAATTTGGGTTTGCCAGCCCCTGCAGCCACACAAATGGGGAGAATCCTCCAGACCTACCCACGGACATGAGACTTGCCAGCCTTCCCGACTCTGACACCACGTGAGCTGTTTCCTTGGCAGTTTATGAGTTCTGTGAGATGTTACAGCAAAATACAGAACCCTAAGACAGGAGGGAGATACTGAGGGGAGGAGAAGAAGTAAATGTTAGAGATGATGGAGTTGAGTAATCTGGACACTTGAGACATCTTTAACCACCACCTCACAGGACCAGCCTTGTGCTGATTCTTCTAAAAGAAATTATTTGAGCAGGTACTGATACAAGGATAGATACATAGAGTAGTAGAATAGAATTAAGAATCCAGAAATAAACCCATACATGTATGGTCAATTAATTTTCCACAATGGTGCCAAAATCATTCAATGCAGAAAATCTCTTCAACAAATGGTGATGGGACAATGGATCTCCACATGCAAAAGGAAGAAGTTGGACCCCCACACCTCTTAACATAAACAACGTATTTTGAATCTTTTCAAAATGGATTAATGACCTAAATATAAGAACTAAAACTATAAAAACAGGAGAAAACAGAGGTAAAGCTTCAGGACCTTCTTTTAGGCAGTAGATTCTTAGATATGACACCAAAGCATGAGCAGTAAGAGAAAAAATTGGTAAACTGGACTTCATCAGAATGAAAAACTGTCAAGAGACATTATCAAATCTTAAAAGCTAGCAAGCTGCCATCTAGATGCAACGATGGGTCTTTCCTCGTCAAGAGCAAAGAAGAAAGAAGAAAACCAAAATTAATAAAAACAATTAGTTCTAGTGACTGGTACACCATCTGATCTGCAACCTATACAACTATGAGACCAGAAGAACTAGATGGTGCCCGGCTACTACTGTCATCCACTTGGAAGGGATGTAGGAGATCCTGGATAGAGAGGGAGAACCATGTGGAACAAAACTCAAAATCATTTGGAGGAAAAAAAAAAAAAGGTGGGGACCAGGTTTGCTGGTCCAATAGAGCCTGGTGGAACCACTGAGATTAAGGCCCCTAGCTGCCCTTCAGGTCTGGAATTGAACCCACACCTGTGGTTTCCAGCCAAACAAAGTACAGGCATGTGAGTTAAACATTTACCTCAAGAAGACACACGCCTTGGAGAGAACAATCATGGGAGAAGGAAGGGCTGCTTATGCACAGGGAGACAGCTCAGGGGGCAGGAGAGTATGGAGGGCTGGACACTGGGAAGAGGTAACTATGGGGAGGAAGTGGGAGGGGAGCTGTTGCATTGTGGTAAACTGTGGTCAATGACATGAGACAAAGTATATGTGAACTGCTGTATGGAAAGTGAATTTGCTTTGTAAATCTTCACCCAAATCATCATCATCATCATCATCATCATAAAAGAGACATTATCAAGAAAGTAAAGATAACCACAGAAAGGGAGAAAATATGTGGGAACCATATATCACATAAGGGTTTAATAGCCAGAATATATAAAGAACTCTTAGAACTCAACAACATAAGACTAACAACCTTATTAAAAACATGGACAAAGGACTTGAACAAACATTTCTTCAAAGAAGATATACAAATGAGCAATAAGCATATGAAAAGGTGCTCAGCATCATTAGCCATTAGGGAAATGCACTTCAAAACTGCAAAGAAATGCCACTTTTATACCCACTAGGATGACTTCATTAAAAAAAAAAAAAAAAAGTGAGTGTTGGCAAGGATATGGACAAATTGGAACACTGGTACATTGCTGGTAGGAATGTAAAATGGTGTAATCATGTGGAAAGCAATTAAAGAGTTAAATGTAGAGTTACCATATGACCCAGCAATTCCAAAAGAATTGAAAACAGTGACTCAGACACATGTATACCAATGTTCATTGCAACATTGTTCATAAAAGTCGAAGGGTGGAAACAACCCAAGTGTCTGTCAGCATATGAATGGATACATAAAAATATGGTATATATGTAACAGTGGAGTTTTATTCAGCTATAAAGAGAAATGAATATCTGTTATGTTGCTACATGGATGAACCTTGGCAAGATGCTAAGTGAAGTAAGGCAGACAGAAGGTCAAATGTATGATTTGTATGATTCCACTTTTAAAAGATAAAAGAAAATTAGTGGAGGGAGAAATGGAAAGGTCTTTTTTTAAAAAAAACAACAACAACTCCCTAGATGATCCCAGTGGGCAACCATATTTGAGAACCCTGCCTTAGAGCTGCACACTGGAATCACATAGGGAACATTTAAGAACCCTAACATCTAGAACAAAACTATACCAATTAAATCAAAGTCTCTGAAAGTGGGACTTGGGCATCTTGGTTTTCCGTATTCCCCAGGTGATTCTAGTGTACAGCCAAGTCTGAGAACCAGGGGTATAGAGTATATACTATGTGCTAGGCCATAGTTATAGGATCTGGGATCCAGTAACTTCTGGGGAAAATTCACTTTCTCCACTGTGAAGCAATCTTAAAACATGAAACAGGTGCCATTAATCTTCCTTGGCTCCTCATATATCAACCTGAGATAGTGGAAAAAGTGTGAAATATTTGGATCCCAGGTCAGGGGGACCAGTCATGACTTCTAGGTAAACACTTTGGTCACTAGTTACTACTGAAGTTTAGAACTTTGTTGTGGCTCACACTTAGCCATCTCTATAAAAAACTAATGATTTGAACTCTGCTGTACAGGCAATCCCCGCATTACGAACGAGATCTGTTCCTGTGTGTGTTTGAGTTGGTAGATAAATTGGAATAGGTGCATATGGGTCTTACTTAGCCTTCCTTTAGTACAAGAAAAGGCTGGAAGCCTTTTCAATGATTTAAAAGCTGCATGTACAGCAAGTGAAGGTGATTGTGATGAAGAATTTGTTGTGTGTAGGGTTTGGTTCAGTTGTTTCAAAGTGAGGGCAAATTTACATGATATATAAAAGCAAGTAGGTGTCTGTAAGTTGGATGTTCATAACCCAGGGACTGACTGTACTTTTAACGAACATTTAGATACAACTATGACAAGCAATTTAAAAAAGTGACTACCATAAAATATTGAATGGCCCACATTACATTTCTGTGGATAGTACTGCTCTAAATGTACATCAGGATTATCTGAAAAGCTTGTTAAGATACAGATTTCAGGTCCCACCCCATTCTGTTGAATTATAATGTCTGGATAGTGGAGTCCAAGAATTAAGAATTTTCAATGTAAGTCTTAACTGATTCTTAGGCACACATAAGATTAAAAACCACTGGCCTCTTGAGTAGTAAACTAGGAGCCAAAAGTTATTTCTGTTCTAAATAAACTCATCTTCATTGATTAAGCAGATGATGGGGAAGCATAACTGACAGTCAGGGAGGTCTCCTCAAGTGAATTCAAAGTGCTTGCTTGCTAAAGAAAAGGGGAGGGGGAGAGCATGCTTACTATAAAAAAAAATTAGAAAAATCATCTGAAAACCCTCTGTACAGAGGTGACAACTATTAACATTTTGATAAACATCCTTCCTTATATTCTGTATCTATTTCTATATGCATTGCCCAAGTAGGTTAACTTTCTTATAATAAATCTTGGCTATAGAACAGGATATATCGAAGAATATTTGATTCATGTTGTAGCCATCAAAAAGCTTATGTTCTTACAGGGAATACAGATAAAAACAGAATTTCCTTAGTACCTTTATTTTCCTTCTTTCCCAGAATTTCTCCTTTTGTGTTCCTTTCTTCCAAATACCCCAGGCCACCTCCTCAACATGCATCTCTGTTACTGTGGAGAAAGACATGAATACCTGCTTTTTCCTCTTGTGGCCATCATTGTGCTGTAGGGACTCAGGAGACGTCTTTGTTTCCCCTCAGATAAGCATTTCCATGGGACCCTTTCTCCAGCTGGGGTTGCTTGTCTCTTGTTACGGTGTCTTTCATTATGCTAACATTTTAGGTTTTTACATTGCTATATTTTTCAATTTTTTAGGGCTTCTAGATTTTGTATCCTACTTAAGAGAGTCTATCCTATTCCAAGATTATAGTATTTCCTTGTATTTTCTACACTCATTTAAAAAAAAAAAAAATCCAGAGTTTATTTTTGCAAATGACTTGAAGTAGAACGCCAACTTTTTTTTTCCCCCTAAAAGGATCGTCAGTTGTCTTAACATCATTTTTTAACCTAGACTTTATTTTTTTTAGAGAAGTTTTAGGTTTACAGAAAAATTGTGCATAAAGTGCAGAGTCCCCATTTACCTCCTTCCCCTGCACATCATTTCTCCTATTAACATCTTGCATTCCTGTTAGTATTTTTGAATGGTTCTTCCTTTCCTCACTGGTTGAGATGGCGCCCTTATGTCTTTTCTCATCTATTGATCTCTTCTCCCTTGTAACAGGTCAAAAGTTTTAATTATTATAAGTTTGTATTTTGATAACTAGTAGGCAAGTCTCACTATTCTTTTCCAAAAATTTATCGACTATTGTTGCATATTTCCTCTTCCTGTGCCTGAATTTGCCTGTTATGGTTTTTTTTTTGTTTTGTTTTGTTTTTTTTTCCTTTGGTTTGGAGTTATATTGAATTAATAGATTTGATTTATTTGGAAAGAGGAGCCAGAGTTCTTACTCATTTTGCTCTGCTGCCTCCTTCATAGAGTGAAGAGCCAGAGGTAGTTAGACTGCAAAAGAGAGTGGGTTAGGAGTGACACCAAGGCAAGGGGAGGAGGTTGGAGGGGGATGGGCGATGGGGTGATAGACTGTGTCTCAGTAGATGGGGTTTGGTAGGGAGTTAGATGGTGTCATGGCTGTGGAGTCAGGCATGACTCCTTGGCATAGAGGATCCCAATATCTCTTCCCTCTCTCAGAGAGAAGCTGGTGAAGACACTGGTGGAGCTGCTGACCAACCAGGTGGGAGAGAAGATGGTGGTGGTGCTGGCCCTACGTCTCCTTTACTTGCTCATGACCAAGCACGAATGGCGCCCCCTCTTTGCCAGGGAGGGTGGCATCTATGCTGTGCTGGTTTGCATGCAAGAATATAAGACCTCCGTCTTGGTGCAGCAGGCAGGGCTGGCGGTGAGTGGATTGGGCTTGATGAGGGTGTTAGATGGGTGAGATAGCTAGGCTGGGGAACTACTGATGTTAAGGAGATACTGCGGTCGCTTAGACAAGGGAGTAAATGGGATGGAAAGAAGTGGATGAATTTAAGAGTTCTGTCTGGACAGTTTTAGAGATTGAGTACCTGATTGGAGAAAGGAAAAAGTTTTTAAGAATGACTCCTAGGTTTAATATTGAGCACCAGGGTGGATGAATGAGGTGGCCTTTTGTTGAGCAGGAGAGCATTAGGGGAAGGAGGAGGTATGGGAAGATGGTTGAGAGTTGAGTTTTTGGGTACGTTGAATTTTTCATGCCTGTTTGAGTTACAGTTAGGTGTCTAGTTAAGGACTAATTTTCTAGATGTGATGATTAAACTAAAAATAGGGTTTTTTTTCCCCCTTTTATCTGAGCGGGACCCTTACTCCTCACCAGATTTGGGTAAAACAAAGCCAGTGTTGCCATCTCTCCACTACTGTGGGCCCAGAGAATCAAGAAGGGAGGTCCTCATCCAAGGGAGCTTACAGAAGAATTGCTGTTCCAACTGCTCCAGACAGAAATATTGACTGGTAGGGAGATACGGTCAAGACAGGGTATGCTCCGTCTAGCCTGAGGGGTACACATAGGCGTCATCTAGAGCAATTCTGCGAATGGATTCCAACAGTATAACAGCAACAGCATGGAGAGGAGGACATGCCCTCAAAGCAGGCTGTCCTAGGGAGAGGCTGGAAGGCTCCTTTAGGGCTACCTAGGTGCTGCTGCTTCCAAGAGTAGCCAGGCATTCACAGTTTTGGCCACATAAGCCCAAAGAACTCCCTGCTCCCCTTATGTTGCATGACTAAAACATAATGTTTGCCCCTAAATTCTAACTCTTGCCCTATAACAGAATTACTTCATCTTGTTTATAATTTAAAAATAGACAAAACCAGTTGTCATGGAGTCAATTCCGACTCATGGCAACCCCTCGTGTGCCATGGATAGAACAGAATAGAACTGTACTCTATAGGGTTTTCAATGGCTGATCTTTCAGAAGTAGATCATCAGGTCTCTCTCCAGCCTTTTGGTTAGCAGCCAACCACAGTAACTGTTTGCGCCACCCTGGTCATAACGTAAGGTCTACAGAATTCTCCTAATTGGGGAGAGTTGCGTAGCCAAAGGGAGAGAACCTTATTACAAGGTGGCATATGCTTGGAGGGTCCGGGCCTCTCAAGGGGAATTGTCTTGAGAATTATTTCTAATCCATTCCATCCCTAGAGGGTTTCTTCTTTGGAGAGACAGACCTTTCATTGGGAGAGACATTTTCTGTTTTAATGTCATTCCTTTTCATTTTATTTTTCTCTATAGTACCACCAAACTATTTTGCACAGTACAATTATTTTTCCAAAATTGCAACAATTCTGCCTGTGAGACAACCAAGTAACCTTCTTGATTAGGGCTGGGTACTAGCTTTGATGATCAGAGGACATAGGTTTGAGAGTGTTGGCATGTAGGTGGCAGTTGAAACTATGGGAGTAGACAGAGTTAACTAGGGAGGGAGTGCAGAGTGAGGAGAGAATGGGGGCAAGGAACATTAGTGTTTAAGGACCAGACAAAGGAGGAACTAGAGAGGTAGGAGGAAAACAAGAATACAGAATCATGGAACTCAAGGGGAGGAGAGGTGTTGCAAAGGAAGGAGTGGTCAAGCAAGACAGGAGACAACTTTAAGGACAGCCTTGAAAGACAAGTAGATGCTCTGAAAGCCATTATGCTGAGGGGAAGATAGAGTTAGCCTTGGTGCTGGAGCATGGGGGCAAAGAGAGGTGGCGGGCAGATTTTACCATTGAGCCTTACCTGTCTTAAGGTTTTCCCTCGACATGTTCCTTTTCCTTCTAACATTCGATGTCCCATCACTACCTCCTTGCTTGCCTACTCTACCTATTTGTAAACAGCTCAGCTGCCCCAGGGTTTGGGGTCTAGAATGATGGTCCATTAATCATGGTGGCTCTGACCACTCCTAACACTGTTCCTACATATCCCCCTTGCAGGCATTGAAGATGCTGGCTATTGCTGGCTCCTCTGAGATCCCCACTTTTGTTACTGGCCGAGATTCTGTCCACCCTTTGTTTGATGCCCAGATGACCAGAGAGATCTTCGCCAGCATCGACTCAGCCACACGCCCGGGCTCAGAGAGCCTGCTCCTTACTCTCCCTGCAGCTGTGATCCTGATGCTGAACACTGAGGGGTCAGGGCATTATCCCCTAAAGTCTTGCTAATCCCCAAACCCCTCTGCTCCCAAGTCCCATGTGTTCCACAGAACTTCCTCTTACGTTGTCACCATTGGACTAAACATTGGTGGCACCTCTGACTGTTACTGAAGAGAGGCCAAGTAGTTGGGAGTGTGGGGATTCCCAGAGAGAATAGATTGACTCTTACCTTCCTTCATAGGGTTGGGTAGAGTGAGCAGCAGCACTTTGCCCCAGCTGTAGTACTCCTCTCCCCTGCACCTACTTCCCTTCTTTCATTGCATTCACTCTCCTTAAATTTCTTTCGGGGTCACCTCCCAGGTGTTCCTCTGCAGTGAGAAACGGCCTGCTCCTGCTTAACCTGCTGTTGTGCAACCACCACACTCTGGGAGACCAGATTATAACCCGAGAGCTGAGAGACACCTTGTTTAGGCACTCAGGATTAGCACCGGGGACAGAACCCATGCCCACCACACGCACGATCCTCATGATGCTTCTCAATCGCTACTCAGAGCCGCCGGGCAGTCCTGAACACACAGGTACCATTATGGAGGGGGTGCTTCTGCTGGAGGAAGTGGACAGCACCAGCCTGTGGTCAGGAAAATTAAGGTCTGCACTCTGGTAGCATAGTGGCTAAGGCATTTGACTGCTAACCAGAAGGCAGGCGGTTCAAACCCACCAGCCACTCCTTGGAAGGAAGATGGGGCAATCTACTTCCGTAGTGATACTGCCTCAGAAACCCATGGTGGGGTCACTATGAGTCGGGTCCAACTCGACGGCACATAACAATAACAACAACAACATACCAGCACCTTACTAGAAACACTCTCAGGAAGTGAGTGAGGGGTTTGGTGCTCAAGTGAGGTATTGAGAAGAAACTCCTGACCAAAAGGAAAGGGAGAATCTGGAATAGGTGAGATGGAATTGCCTTCTCTGAATAGCTTCAAACATGTGAAGACTCCTGTCTGTCTGGGCTAGGTTTGGTCCAGTCTTATTGGACAGTAGACGTTTGGCTGAATTGGCTTCTAGAGAGGCCTTCTTTTGACGAATTGTTACTTACAGTACAGAAAATGTAACTAGAAGTATCAAATATTGATGTCATGGGGAAGAGCCGTTTGTGTTTAGAAAACAAGTGAAAACCCAGAATGTGTGTTTTTAGGCTATATATCTAAAGCCATTATAGTAGGTGTTATAGGGATATAGTAATAACAACTAATATTTATAGGCTTATGTAACTGCATTGTTGTTATTGTTGTTTGCCATTGGGTCGGCCCCGACTCATAGCGACCCCTCCTTGGGTTTCCGAGGCAGTAACACTATGAAAGTAGATTGCCTAATAACTAACCTTTAATAATAAAAGATAATTATATGATTATGTGAGATAAAAAATGTATTGTGTTTATCTTAGCAATGTCTGCCACACTAGTTTTTTGGTTTCTTTTTTAATTTAGCTAACTAAATATGTATTTTGGGCCAGAAATGAAAATCCCTCAATTTGGTAGAAACTGTAGACGTTCTTAAAACATGAGGCAAGTTTTGGGGTGATTTTTCTAGACTTTCCTGTTTCTAGGTTTGACCAAGTTGTATGACTCCTTGTCATATATACTTTTTCCCTCCTCTGTGTCTGGGCTACAGGACTGGAAACCCCTGGCTCCCAGGGCCAGGGTGGGCCCCCTGAGCTACTGATTCGATCCATAGTGGGGGGCCCATCTGCAGAACTACTTCTGGACTTGGAACGTGTATTGTGCCGGGAGGGTGGCCCAGGGGGCGCAGTGAAGCCCCTCCTCAAGCGCCTCCAGCAGGAGACGCAGCCCTTCCTCCTGTTGTTGCGGACTCTGGATTCCCCAGGGCCCAACAAAACTTTGCTGCTGACTATGCTGAGGTGAGGAGCTCTGGTGGCATAGTGGTTAAAGCATTTGGCTGCTAACCCATAGGGCTGCCATTTGAACTCACAGCTGCTCCACAGGAGAAAGATGAGGCAGTCTGCTTCTGTAAAAATGTACAGCCTTAAGTTCTACTCTATCCTGAAAAGGGTCACTATGACCCATGGTAGTGAGTTATGCTGAGGTGAGGGGCCTATGCAGGCACTCACACCTCCTGGATGTGGGCATCTGGCAGACTAAGGGATTCATTGTTTCTGTTCGTTCTCCAGGGTCATGACCCGGCTACTGGACTTCCCTGAGGCAATGGTGCTCCCCTGGCATGAGGTCTTAGAGCCCTGCCTCAACTGCCTGAGTGGCCCTAGCAGTGACTCTGAGGTACCACAGCTTAGAAAGTAGGGGGAGGAAAGACACATGTGGGGCACCTCCTTGTGAGGCACTTTGGAAAGCCCAGCAGAGCCTTTCTGAAGGAGTCTGGGGGTACTGCGAGGGGTGGGTAGTAAGAGGAAAGCCAGTATTGTCTGAGAGTTTCCAGAACTAGGATCTTTTAAAGTATACTTCCTTTTCTGAATCCACTCCTCAACTCTTGCACCCCTACCCTTTGTTTTCCTTGGATTACTCTGGGTGTCTCTGGGCTCAGATTGTTCAGGAGCTGGTCTCCTTCCTCCATCGCCTGGCCTCCACGCACAAGGACTATGCTGTGGTGCTCTGCTGTCTGGGAGCAAAAGAGGCCCTTTCCAAAGTCCTGGAGAAGCACTCGACTCAGCTGCTGCTGGGGTGTGAGCTTCGGGACCTGGTGACAGAGTGTGAGAAGCATGCCCAGCTCTACAGTAAGCTCACCTCCAGCATCCTGGCTGGCTGCATTCAGGTGAGGAGGCCTTGTAGTACACGGTTGAGGGACATATAAGCCAGAAGCAGGGGAAGGGGACTCTGTGTGTGTTTCTGTTTGATATGGTTCATAGGTGGTAATAAGTCTGGGACATTTGTTCCCCACTCTTTCCCCAGTATGGTTCTGTTCTGATGAAGTTTGAGGAGAAAGAGAATTCTCTTGCCCCTAGACTTTTTCTTCTTACATGTTTTAGTGTATTCCTTCATGTCCCTCCCTCCTCCCCATGCCCCTTCTCTTTGATGTTCCTGCTGCAGATGGTGCTGGGTCAGATTGAAGATCACAGACGAACCCACCAACCCATCAATATTCCCTTCTTTGACTTGTTCCTGAGGCACCTCTGCCAGGGTTCGTGCTCCCAAATGCTTTCTGCTGATTCCCACCCCAGCATCTGTTGTTCCTTGCCCTTCCTGCTCCCTAGTCCCTTTCCCCTTCCCCAACTAGCCAAGCTGTGACCTCCCTCCTTCCCACTCACCCCCAGGCTCCACTGTGGAGGTGAAGGAGGACAAGTGCTGGGAGAAGGTTGAGGTGTCTTCCAACCCGCACCGGGCCAGCAGGCTGACAGACCGCAATCCCAAGACCTACTGGGAGTCCAATGGCAGCGCCGGCTCCCATGCCATCACCCTGCACATGCACCGTGGTGTTCTTGTTAGGTGAGAAAGCACCCATGTGCACACGTACATATATATTCTGATATGCCCCAATATCCTCCCCAAAACACTCATAAACACACAGCTCAGTCTATAACCCCTATGCCTGAGGGACATACTCACACCCATTTTGTGTAGTGAACAGATGAACACATTGACTTGCCTTCTCTGTGCTGGGTATAGACATCCCGTCATTCCTAGAGCCTGACTCTCCCCACACCCCCAGCCTCCAGCACAAGTGTCACTACAAAACAACTCACTGCCTTTGAGTCAATTTGACTCACAGCGACCCCTCCTTGGGTTTCCAAGGTGGTATCTCTGTGGAAGTAGTTTGCCCAATCTTCCTGTCAAGGAGTGGCTGGTGGGTTTGGACTGCCAGCCTTCTGCTTAGCAGTCAAATGCCTTAGGCACTTCGCCACCAGAGCTCCCAATGTGTACTCTGTATCAGAGATTGCGCAAGGTTTTGGAGACACAAAGATAATAAGAGATTGGGACCTGTTGTCAGGGAACTTGAAGTCTATTGGGAAGGCAGGCTAGAAAATCAGTAAGAACATAGAAAAAAAACAAAACAAACCTACTGCCATCAAGTCGATCCCGACTCATAGTGACCCCATTGGGCTTCCGAGGTAGTAAATCTTTATGGAAGTAGATTGCCCAGTCTTGCTTCCGCAGAGTGGCTGGTGGGTTTGAACCACCAACCTTCTTGTTAGCAGTCAGATGCCTTAGTTACTGTGAAACCAGTAAGAGCATAGAGTAAGGAAAAGTGTTACAGTTGATGTGTGCGCTGGGTCCTGACAGAGCAGAGGAACATCTGAAGCAGACTGAGAGGTCTGAGCAAGCTTCCTGAGAGGGGTTGTCTGATCTGGGTTTTGAAGTAGAAATTAGCTAGATAAAGAGAGGGGGCAATGGATATTAGACAAAAGGATAGCATCTATGCAAAAAGAAAGAAACATGATGATGTGTCTTGGGGAACCTTTAAGTGATTGAGTTTATTTGGAATGACGGGTGTGTAGAAGGCAAAGTGGCAGAAGATGAGGCTATAAAAGTAGGCCAAAGCCAGATCACAGTGAATTATGTGAGCTAAGACGTTTCTACTTTCTTCTGAAGCGTGGGGGGCCTTGAAGGATTTTAAGAAGGGAAGAGACGAGGATGAGAAAGTCATAGAGAGGTACATGGGCAGTACAGACAACAAATATGAACCCTTTTGCATATACAGTACTGAGTTGTCAGTGAAAGCAAACATGGGTATATGGACGGATAGATAGGTGGACAGGCTAAACAATTAGGTATGTCTAAATGGGGAGTGTATCCAAGATCATGTATAGGGTTGGCAGACAATTAGGTATGTCTAAATGGGGAGTGTATCCAAGATCATATATAGGGTTGGCAGACAAGGGTCCTATAAGTTTATGAGAATGATCAGAATTCCCAGGTGTATAGTAGAGCTGACAAGGGGCAAGGTTATGGTCATTGCTTGGTCACAGCCAGCTACCCAGAGCAACCGAGTAGTTGATCCTGCGGGCTTGGGACCGTAGTCGCAGGGGACATCAAGCTCAATTGGCATAACATACTATACAAAACATTGTTCCACCTCCTACTTTGGCGAGTAGCGACTGGGATCTTAAAAGCTAGCAAGCTGCCATCTAGATGCAACAATGGGTCTCTCCTCATCAAGAAGAAGAAAACCAAAATTAATGGAAACAATCAGTCCTAGCGACTGGTACACCATCCGATCTGCAACCTATACAACTATGAGACCAGAAGAACTAGATGGTGCCCGGCTACCACTGTCATCCACTTGGAAGGGATGTAGGAGATCCTGCATAGAGAGGGAGAACAATGTGGAACAAAACTCAAAATCATTTGGAGGCAAAAAAAAAAAAAAGGTGGGGACCAGGTTTGCTGGTCCAATAGAGCGTGGTGGAACCACTGAGACTATGGCCCCTAGCTGCCCTTCAGGTCTGGAATTGAACCCACACCTGTGGTTTCCAGCCAAACAAAGTACAGGCATGTGAGTTAAACATTTACCTCAAGTAGACACATGCCCTGGAGAGAACAATCATGGGAGAAGGAAGGGCTGCTTATGCACAGGGAGACAGCTCAGGGCGCAGAAGAGTATAGAGGGATGGACACTGGGAAGAGGTAACTATGGGGAGGAAGTGGGAGGGGAGCTGTTGCATTGTAAATTTTGGTCAATGACATGACACAAAATATATGTGAACTGCTGTATGAAAAGTGAATTTACTCTGTAAATCTTCACCCAAATCAAAATAAAATTAAAAAAAAAAAAAAAAGGGAAAAGACAAGAGTAGATTTTTTATTTAGAAGGTTCACTCTGGCAATTAGGGAGTTTGGGCTAGAGGCCAGGAGAAAGAATTGGAAGGTTTATGCAGCAATCTAATTGAGAAAAGATTAGTGTCTTCAGTTAGAGGGAAGGACAGCAGAGAGAAGATGATGGATGGGGAGAAATTAACAGGTAGCATCTGTAGGACTTTGATTGGATGTGAGAGATCTGACAGAATGAAGTCCACGGTGTCAGAGTGTTCTAGTTGAGTACTGGGTAGGTGGCACTTTTATTACCCAGGAGAAGTTAGGAGGCGAGCAGATGTGGACAGATGCGCCTTCCAGTTTGAGCATATTGACTTTGAGGTGCTTGTGGGACATGGTGTAGAAATGTCTGTTGGATACACAGCATTAAAGCTCAGGAAAGAGGTCTGGGTAGAGATGTAGATTTGGAGTCATCAAAACTATGGGTTTAAATGAAGTCACCTTGGGAGAGTATAAAGAAGAAAGCAGAAGGCCTGAGGAAGACTGAGCAGGAGCCTGACAAGGAGGTAGTGGATTGAAGTAGTTTTTGAGTTAAGACCAAGGCCCCAGTTTTGAATGATTCCTCTTCTCTCCCAGGCAGCTGACTCTGCTGGTGGCCAGTGAGGACTCAAGTTACATGCCAGCCAGGGTGGTGGTGCTTGGGGGTGACAGTGCCAGCTGCATCAGCACTGAGCTCAACATGGTGAAGCCTCCTTCCACTTCCACCTCATCCCTTGTTTGTCCCAGGACTTTGTGGGAAGGACCTAGTCCCTGGGGAATTCCCACATCCCTTCCTCATGGAAAGGCATTGCCTTGTAAGCAGGGAGAATGGAATTAGATGGGAAGCCCATAGATCCATGGGCTGGGTGCATGGGAAGTAAAGGGCACATAACTGTAACAGTTCTTCCAGCCCCACTGCTGGAGGTGAGAGTTCGCTTTACCTCTTGTCCCCTTCTGTTCTAGGTGAATGTGTTGCCCTCTGCCAGCCGGGTGATCCTCCTGGAGAATCTGAACCGCTTCTGGCCTGTTATCCAGATCCGCATAAAGCGCTGCCAGCAGGTGTGGTGAAAAAGGAGGCTAGGCGCTGGAGGGCAGGACGTAGCACAGGGTCTCTGAAGTAGCTAGGTTCTCTGATTTTGGGGACCAGGGCTCTAACCAAGCTTCCTCCTTAGTCTGCTTGGGAGATGGTTCAGGAATCTGTTGAGGTCTATAGACGTGCAGGGATGTCTAGAGAAGCTCTAGAGAACATGAGGTGAGAGGCTTCAGTCTGTGACCTCCCACAGAGCTTGGCTTTGGTAGTATTTGGTGGCAAGCGTGGCTTAGGTGACAGACAAATCTGTGTACATTGCAGGGTGGCATTGACACCCGGGTTCGGGGTGTGGAAGTCCTGGGCCCCAAGCCCACTTTCTGGCCACTATTCCGGGAGCAGCTATGTCGCCGCACGTCTCTCTTCTACACAATTCGGGCCCAAGCCTGGAGCCGGGATATAAAGGAGGACCGCAGACGCCTCCTGCAACTCTGTCCCAGGTGGGCAAGGTTGAAGGGAGGAGGGTGGTGGTTACAGAGAGGAGGATACTGCTAAGAAGTAGGTGGTGGGAGATAAGCTTCTGTGGGCATCTGGAAGGTAGAGCCGGAACCAGGAGATGAAAAAATGAAATAGGTGAAAAGTTTGTGCTGATGGGGGAGGCCGGCTGAGGGAGATGGGCAGAGACTGAGGTGACTGGGAGTTGATCTGCACTGAGTGGAAACCTGAAGGAAATCTCTTGCCTTTAACCCTTAATCATACACTTCTTGTTGCCAGACTGAACAAGGTTTTGTGCCACGAGCAGAATTTTGCTGATCGCTTCCTCCCTGATGAGGAGGCCGCCCAAGCTCTGGGCAAGACCTGCTGGGAAGCCCTGGTCAGCCCCCTGGTGCAGAACATCACCTCCCCCGGTAACCATGCCAGCGCCTGGCCCCACTAACCAGCTCCTTGTATTTATTCCAAGGATCACCTGAGTTAATGCTCTTGGTTCTCTTGGTTCCTGTCTTTATCCCTATAGGCCTGTCACCTCAGTGTTCCTCACCTTCTTGCCCCAGGGACTGCTCCCTAAGGCTCTGGTATTTGAATCTCTACCCTCCCCCCTCAAAACCTGTTACCATATCCCCAGACTCCAGCTGAACCAAACCTTGGTGAGGGGAGGAATAGGGCACTGTTGCTCCCCAGAGCTATTTGTACGATTCTTTTCTACTCCTCCTTGGGCTGTCCTTTCCTCCATTTCCCGTGGAGACCTTTCCTGGCCTGTGTCTCAGATGCAGAAGGTGTGAGCTCCTTGGGATGGCTGCTGGATCAGTACATAGAACAAAGGGAGAATTCTCGACGCCCCCTGAGTCGAGCAGCGTCCTTTGCCTCTCGTGTTCGTCGCTTGTGCCACTTGCTGGTACATGTGGAGCCTCCCCCTGGACCTTCTCCTGAGCCACTGCCTCAGCCCTGTAAGTCCCAGCCATGGCCCTTTGAGTTAGGAGTCTGGGCAGTGGTAACATCTGGCTCCTCCCCACTCCCTGGATTTCACTCATCCTTACTGCTTTGCTGCGGGCCTTTCCAGGCCCCTGTGGCCTCCAGGCCTTCCCAGGCCATCAGTACCCAGGAACCCTGTACTCATCCATGGCTGAGATGATACCCCATTTCTTGCCCTGTGTTTTCCACAGTCAGCAAGAACAGTAAGGGTCGGGATCGGAGTCCTGGCCCTTCACCAGTTCTTCTAAGCAGCAGCCTGAGGAACATCACCCAGTGCTGGCTGAGTGTGGTGCAAGAGCAGGTGGGCAGAAGCACACTGAAGTCTGAGGAGCGGGAGGGGCTGCTAAGGTGTTATCATAAAGGGCCTGCTCCTTGGATGTTTCTTCTTTCCCTTTATCTGCAGGTCAGCAGGTTCCTGGCTGCAGCCTGGAGAGCCCCAGACTTTGTGTCTCGTTACTGTGAACTCTATGAGCGCTTGCAGACAGCAGGCTCAGAGTTGTTTGGGCCTCGGGCTGCCTTCACACTAGCTTTGTGCAGTGGCTTCTCTGGTGCTTTGCTGCAGCAGTCCTTCCTCACCGCTGCTCATGTGAGTACAGCCAGTCCCCAGAACAGCTGTCAGCTCATGTTTGATGTTCATCTCCTTTCTTCTCTGCCCTTTCATTCACTACTTGCCTCCTCTACTTCCTTGCTCATGGTCTTCCGGTGCCCTTTCCAATGCCCCTAGATGAGTGAGCAGTTTGCCAGGCACATCGACCAGCAGATCCAAGGCAGCCTGATTGCTGGAGCCCTTGGGGTAGAAATGCTGGGGCGCCTTCAGCAGCAGCTGGAGCCCTTCATGGTCCTTTCTGGCCTGGAGCTGGCCACTACTTTTGAGCGCTTCTATCAGTGAGTGCAGGTCTGGAGAGGGAGGGGATAGGAGGTCTGGAGTCTAGGAAGGGGAATGAAGTGAATCTTTGGGGAGAGATGAAAGAGGCAGTAGCTGGGAGAGATTAAGATACAGAGATGATGATGGCACTGTCAGAAAGGGAATGGGAAAGAAGAGGTGAGGTTGTGCCTATGACTCAGGCAGGCTGGAGTAGAGGTACTGAGATTCTGGAGGGAGAGGCTGGGCCACACTGGACACCCACACTGAGGCTTGGCCCGGGCTGTGTGTGCTGCAGGCACTACATGGCAGACCGACTCCTGGGCATGGGCCCGAGCTGGCTGGAGGGGGCCGTGCTGGAGCAGATTGGTCCCTGCTTCCCCAACCGCCTCCCCCAGCAGATGCTGCAGAGCCTGAACAACTCCGAGGAGCTGCAGCACCAGTTCCACCTCTTCCAGCTCCACCAGCTTGACAAACTGCTTTTGGAGCAAGAGGATGAGGAGGAACAGAGACTAGAGGAAGAGGCGGTAAGAGCAAGGGAAAAGAGTGGGAGAATAGGAAAGCAGGAGAAGACTAACCAAAGAAGGGAGCCCAATGGCCCTTGAAATCTTCTGTTCCTCAGGAGGAGGAAAAAGAAGAGGAGGCTGAGAAAGAGCTATTTGCTGAAGATCCAAGTCCAACAGTTTCTGTACTGGTCCTGTCACCACGCTGCTGGCCAGTTTCCTCACTCTGCTACTTGTACCATCCCAGAAAGTGCCTTCCCACAGAATTCTGTGATGCCCTTGACCGCTTCTCCAACTTCTATAACCAGAGTGAGAAGCTAGAGAGAGGAAACTGGAGATTGGGGTGAGATTTGGGGTGGCAAGAGAGAAAGAGGAGAGGACTTTTGGACAGGAACCTGTAGATATGAAGAAAAGTAATCTACAGGGGCAGCAATCTCCTAGGGAAGGGTGAAAAAAGTGTGAGTTGTATCTTCACTAATTTCTGCTCTTATTTCCTCCAACTTTCTATACGTTTGTTCTATTTTTTCTTTTTCTAACTTGAGGTGGTATGCTTACTTTCTCTTCAGTCTTTCCAGACTGCTTTCCCATAAAAATACTTAAGGCTATTCATTTACCTTTCAGTATTGCTTTAGCTGCATCCTGTAAGGTTTTTTAAAAAACATTTTTTAATTAAGGTATTCAGTATTCAGTCAAGTACACAAATCTTAACTATAAATCTTAGTGAATTATTATATACATATACACTCATGTAACCACCAGCCCAGATCAAGATGCAGAACATTGCCCGCACCTCAAAAGACTTTCTCCTTTGCTCCCTCCCAGCCAGAATCTTCTTCCAGGAGAAACCGTTATTCTTCCCTTTATCACCACGTATTTTTGCCTGTATTTGAACATCAGGGGCTCTGGTGGCATAGTGCCTAAGGCATTTGACTGCTAACCAGAAGGCTGGAGGTTCAAACCCACCTGCCACTCCTCGGAAGGAAGATTGAGCATTCTACTTCTGTAGTGATACCACCTCAGAAACCCAAGGAGGGGTCACTGTGAGTCGGATCTGACTCGACAGCAGTGCATTGTGTTGCGTTATATGAATATCATATAAATGGGATCATAGAGTATGCATTCTTCTGTGTCTGATTTCTTTCAACATAATGCCTATAGGAGTTATCCAGTTTGTCAGTTATATCATTAGTTTGTTCTTTCATGTTGTTGATTGATATTCTATTATAAGAATATATATAATATTCTGTTGATGGATATTTGGGATGTTACATGAATTTTATATTGTGTAGTATTTTTATTATTGTTAGTTTAAAAATTTTCTAATTTCTATTATTTCCTCTTTGATTTATTTGTTTTTTAGAATTATTGATTGATTGATTGATTGATTTGGGTGAAAGTTTACAGAGAAAATTCACTTTCCATACAGCAGTTCACATACACTTTGTTTCATGACATTGACTACAATTTACCACAATGCAACAGCTCCCCTCCCACTTCCTCCCCATAGTTACCTCTTCCCTATGTCCTTCCCTTCATGCTATGTCCCTTTGCATACACAGCCCTTCTATTCTCCCATGATTGTTCTCTCCAAGGAGTGTATCTACCTAGTGTAAATGTTTACCTCATATGCCTGTCTTTTGTTTGTCTGGAAGCCACAGGTATGGGTTCACTTCCAGACCTGAAGGGTAGCGAGGGGCCATAGTCTCAATGGTTCCATGAGGCTCTATCAGACCAGCAAAGTTTTTAGAAGTATATTTTTAAATTTCCAAACAAATTTTTGTTCGTTTAGTTATCTTTTTGTTTTAGATTCCAAAGAATATGGTTTCTGTGATTCTGTATGTTTGCAACTGATTGAGATTTCCTTTATGGCCTAGTAGGTGGTCAAATTTTATAAGTGTTCTGTGTGAGATTAAGAAGAATGTACATGCTTCAGCTGTTTGGATACAGGATTTTACATACTCCATTAATTGACCTTGTTAATTATATTGTTCATTCTTTTCTAACCCTACTTATTAATTTTTGTCTATTTGATCTATTACTGAGAGAAGTGTGCTGAAACTTACTATAATACTGATTTTGTCAGTTTTGCTTTGCTGTTACTAGATAGCAAGTTTAGGACCATTTAGCAGTGCTGACCAGTAGAATTTTCTGCAATAATGGAAAAGTTCTTTTCTGTGCTATTCAGTATGGTAGCCATTAGTGGCTATTAAGCATTTGAAATGTGGTCATTGTGATTGAGGAATTGAATATTTAATTTAATCTAGTTTAAATATAAGTAGCAATATGTGACTAGTGGAATATTTAAGACTATTCATTTCTTTCTCGTATTGCTTTAGCTGCATCCTATAGGGTTCTTTTTTTTTTTAATTTTTAAATTATTTAATTAAACTAATAGATTATACACATTTTGGTAGTATAGTGCCTACTGCTAACCAGCCACTCCTTGGAGGGAAGATTGGGCAATCTACTTCCGTAGTGATACTGCCTCAGAAACCCAAGGAGGGGTCGCTATGAGTTGGATCCGACTCCACGGCAGTGAGTTGTTTTTTTTTTTAATGGTAAATTAAACATAATTATTATTATGAAGTAACCAGTTTTCTTTTTAGTTAGTATCTTTCTGATATAACTTTTTCTATCCTTTTACTGTAAAAAATGTTTTATTAGGAAATTATTTCAAATTTACAGAAAAACTACAAGAATAATACAAATAACACCCTTTAATTCAAATTTGCCTTTCGTCAACATTTTGCCCTATTTGCTTTTATCATTTGTCTTTTCATATATGTATAGGCATACACATTTTTTTTTGAACCATTGTGAGTAAATTGCATATAGATGGTCCTTTGCCCCTAAATACTTTAGTAACTATTTCCAAAAAATAAGGGTATTCGCTTATATAACCACAGTTCACTTATCAGTTTCAGAAGTTTAACTTTGGTCCAGTACTTTAATCTACTGTCTTTATTCCAGTTTTGTCAACTGAAGCCAGTATAACTTCTGTGGCTATTTTTTTTAGGTCCAGGATAGGATCCAGTCTAGGATGATGTATTCTGTTTAGTTGTCATATCTGTCTAGCTTCCTTTAATCTGCAACAGTTCCTCAGCTTTTCCTTGTATTTTGTGACATTGGCATTTCTGAAGAATACAGCCCTTTAAGAATTTTTTAAGCTTCCTCATTTTAGGTTTGAATGATGTTTCTTCATGATTAGATACAGGTCATATGCATTCCTGGCTGGAATACTAAGTAAATGATGGTATGGACTTCCCAGGGTATTATTTGGAGGCACACAATGTCTATCTGACCCTCATTTGTGCTGTTGATTTTGATCACCTGGGCAAGCAGTAGTCTGATTTCCTCCCCTGTATAGGTAATATTTTTCCCTTAAGCAATCTGTGTGAGGAGACACTTTAAAACCATGTCAATATTCTCCTTTCATCAAAATTTCCACCTTGTATCATTTTACTTTTAACTTTGCTATACATATGTTTTAGGCATGTGTTTTGTAAATATCTAGATTTTGTTTTTTGTTCAAAAAAATTTTTTATTATTTATGACAATCTCTCGAGTTGTGAATTTTAGCCTATTTATAATTATTATGTGTAATGATGTATTTGGCTTTTATTTCTGACCTTTTATTTTATGCATTTGGTTTACCCTTCTTACATTTTAAATTTTAGATATTTTATATGTGGAAAATATATGTACATGTTTTATATGTACATAAAATATGTACAGTTCAAAGAAGAAGAATAAATTGAAGAGCTTTATACATACAATTCTACCCTGGGGTTTTTGTGCTTTTTCCCACCCCTCTTTCTTCTTTTGGATTGATTGAGGTTTTTTGTTTTGCTTTTATTTATTTATTTATTTTTTGCTTCTGCCAATTTGGAAGTTACATGTTCTTTCATATAGTTGAGTACCCTTATATTTTTAACCTGTAGGCTTGACTTGTTGATATCATTACCCACCCTCCCGAGCAATAAAAGGACCTTAGAACAGCTCCCGTTCACGAGCTCCCATCTTACTCATTACACCTGTCTACTATTTTAGAAAGAACTTTTTACCTCCCAACTTTGTCATTATTATTTCTGTCTTATTTGGTTGATGGTTAGTTTCACTCTGCCAGTTGCTTTAGTCATCACTGCTTTTGCATCTTGGTCCTTCCATCAGGTTAATTTTCTTCCTCCTAAAGTACATCCTTTAGATGTTTCTTCATTGAGGGAGAACTGATGTTAAACCTTATCAGTTTTTATTTGTCTGAGAATCGTTTGTTTTCATCCTCATTAAAAAATGTATTATGATAAATTTCAGACATATACAAAAAATAGAATAGATAACAAACTGCAGCGTACCAGTATACATCAACACGGCCAGTCTTGTTCATCTGTACCCCTACTTGTGCCCGTCACCCCCGAATCTGAAAGATAATGCCTTTCTTTTTAGAATCAAGAATATTATAATGATCAAACTTTTAGAAATTAATAATTCCTAATAACCATCAAATAGACAGTACTTGTATTTCTCTGTTTGTCTTGTTTGTCTCAAAAGTCTTTTTTAATAGTTACATTGTTTAATGAAGATTCAAACAAGGTCCGTGTGTGGCATTTGGTCATCTCTTAAATTTCTCAATCTAGATTTCCCCTCCCCCCCCTTGCAGTTATTTGTAGAATAAACTGGGTTGGTTGCCAAATAGAGTTGCTCACAGTCTAGATTTTGCTGATTCCATCCACGTGGTATCCCTTAGCATGTTCCTTTGTCACCTTTATTTCCTGAGAACTAATACTTAGATTTAGAGGCTTTTAAATTCTGGTTTGATTTTTGAGGGCAAGAACACTTTATAGGTGCTATGGTATACCATCATGAGGCATTTTCTGTCTGCTTGCCTCTCTCTTTGTGATGTCAGGATGGGTCAATGGGTTTCCATCCTGTCAGTCTGATCTGTACACGATATATAGTTTCCCATCAGCTTTTCACTAGGCAGTCATTGACAATCATTGCTTACATCCATCATTCCATTGTTGCTACTGCTGTGTACTTTCGAGTGGGTTCCAACTCATATAGACCCTAGAGGGCAGAGTAGAACTGCCCCATAGGATTTCTGAGGTGATAAACTTTTATGGAAGTGGACTGCTACATCTTTCTCCTGTGGAGCTGCCGGCAGGTTCAAACCACTGACTTTTACTTTAGTACTAAGCACTTAACCACTATGCCACCAGGGCTTCTTATCATTCCATTAGAAGTTATGAACTAGTGATATTCTAGTTTTGTCATTCTCTCTTTTGCTTATTAGTTGGAATACTTTATAAAGAAAAACCTCCTCTTATCACTATTTGGTTAACCTGAAATACAGTTTATACAGGAGAGGCTTCATTCCTTCCTCCTCCTTATTTTTAACCAATGTTGAAAATAATTTTAGTTCCCTGGCATCTTCCAAAGATGGCCAATGAGATCTTTTAAAAAAAAAAATATTACGAACTCATGGATTTTAAAATATTTCATATATTTCAGTCCATTGCAGTTATTCTTTCTGATGCTTTCATTGTCCTGTCTTTGGCTAAAGAGCATTTCCCAGGCTGGGTCCTGATCCCTTTTGACATTCTCTCCCTTTGATAAGTGGCCTATCTTTCTAGTTAGAGAGAACGTTCCAAACTCCTCTTGGCTGAGCTGTATAACACAGGAGAAGGGGGAGACCCAGCCTAATGGGACTTTGAAACTGTCAGCTCCTTGAGGGTAAAACCCAGTTCTCCTCGCTGTAGTCTAGTTTCTTCATGGAGCCTACCTGCACAGGACTAGGCACAGGGTCAGCTCACACATACCTGTGGCTTGCCAGAGAAGGCTGAGATCCAGGAGCTCAGACCAGGAGCCTCTATGTCTGTAAATAGTGGGGCCCCTGCTTCCTGCAGAGACTAGCAGGAGCAAAGCTTGGCTAATCGTGTGCCCTTACTCATAACCCCTTTGTTTCTTCTATTCTTTCCTCCCCCCTTCTCCTTGACACCGTCTCAGGTCAGAACCATCCAGTCCTGGACATGGGACCACATCGGCGTCTGCAGTGGACATGGCTGGGCCGGGCTGAGCTGCAGTTTGGGGATCAGACCCTGCATGTGTCCACCGTGCAGATGTGGCTGCTGCTGAATTTCAATCAGACGGAGGTGCCCCAGCTCTCAGCCTCTCTGTGTTCTCTTGTCCACCTTGTTTGTCACTGTTCTTCTGCTAAACTCTGTTCCTCCTTCCATCCTTCCTCCCCTCTTCTTTTCCTTCCCCTTTGAGGTCTGCTCCAGGAGGCCCTCACAGGCCCTGTTTCTCCTCACCAGGAGGTGTCAATAGAGACCTTGCTGAAGAATTCTGACCTTCCTCCAGAGCTACTGCTCCAGGCACTTCTGCCCCTCACCTCTGAGAATGGCCCTTTGACCTTGCATGAGGGTCAGGACTTTTCACCTAAAGGTAGGTCAGTAGGGCTGGTTTGAGCCTCTGGTCCGAGGGTTGGGGCTCTCAGGTGGGAGTGGTATATTTGGGAGTGAGGACAAAGGGATCCTCATAGCCCCTAGTGCCTGTTCCTCCCTCTCTGTGGATACCTGACTGGGAGTGGTCCTAGGTGTGCTGCGGCTCCGTGAGCCTGGGTCCCGGCCCAGTGAGGAAGCCCTATGGCTGATGCCTCCCCAGACATACCTAAATGTGGAGAAGGATGAAGGCCGGACCCTGGAACAGAAGAGGAGCCTCTTGAGTTGTCTTCTTGTCCGTATTCTCAAAGCCCATGGGGAAAAGGGACTCCACATTGACCAGCTGGTTTGCCTGGTAGGAAGGGAGGGAACCATGAACCATGAAGTTGGGAGAGGAAGAGAGTCGTGGTTGGGGGTTTGGGACCAGAGGTCACCACGAAGGAAGGTAAACTCAGTGTAAGACCTCTGTAAGGCATATTTCCACGTGGGTTTTCTATTCCCAACAGGGCAGTTAGATAGAAAGTAAAGACAAGACAGGAGTGTTTACCATGTGCCAGGCCTTGTTCTTAGAGTTTGTGTGAATTAAGTCATTTAATCCTCACAACAATCCTGTGAGATAAGTAGTAATATTATTATTATAATCCCCATTTGATAGATAAGAAAAGCGAGGCATAGAAAGTTTAATAACTTATTCACAGTCACACAGCTAGTAAGTGGCAGAGCCAGGCTTTGAACTGAGGCAGGCTGGCTTCAAACCCCATGTTCTGCCTGCCTTCCATGAGTAAAAGTGGCCTGCCCATCTCCTTCCCCAGGTGCTGGAGGCCTGGAGGAAGGGTCCGAATCCCCCCGGAAGCCTGGGCCGCACTGTTTCGGGTTGTGTGACCTGTACCAGTACAGATGTCTTCTCTTGCATCCTGCACCTCCTGGGCCAGGGCTATGTGGAACGGCGTGACGACCGGCCCCAGATCCTAATCTATGCCACCCCAGAGCCCATGGGGCCCTGCCGGGGCCAGGCAGACATCCCCTTCTGTGGCACCCAGAGCTCTGAGACCCCCAAGCCCAGGTAGCCACCCCACCCCCCACCCCTGCTGCAGGGACTCCAAGTCACTCTAGAGAGACAGGTGAAACAGCAGTGAACTGGGAGAGGTTTGTCATGCCACAGCCAGGTTCCCTTGTGGGAAAACCTTTCATTTCTTGCTTTGTCTGTTTTCCCTGTCCCTGTGATTTCTCCCTATTCACCTTCCCCCTCCCAGTGCCATCCAGTCAGGGGCCTTGCTGCCACCATCCTGCTAGAGCCAGCCCTTAGGAAAGGGCCCAGACAAACTGATCTGTCGATATGTCTCATTCTAGACAAACATGAAATGTTCTGCGCAGTGAAATACACAGACTCAAGTTTTTAGGAAACCCATTCTGCAAAGGAACTTGCCATAGGATTTCCCCATTTAACCAGTACCCCTAAAGCTTTTTGACATCAGGTCCAGTTCACCCGACATTATGGCATTACTGTTCATGCCTGCAATTTGCTTTATGTGTAAAGTTCGTTCTTCTCTGGAGTGATCTTTCTCAAACTTTCAGGTGCATCCAGGTCACCTGGGATCTTATTAAAGTGCAGATTCGTATTCAGTAGGTCTGAGTGTAGCCAGAGAGCCAGCATTTCAAACCGGCTCCCTGTGTTGCTGGCCCACAGACCACATTCTGAGTAGTTAGGCTGTAGACCACTGTTTCTCACCAGAGGGTCTATTAGCACTTTGGGAGTGACCTCCAGTGGGACTGTCCCATCTATTGTAAGTCAGCATCTTAACCCCTGCCCACCAGCTGTCAGCAGTGCCCCCAGTCTTTGTGGCAGCCGGGTCCACATTTCCAAACTCTTCAGAGCCAGTAACAACTGGTTCAGGAGGTTATCCTCAGGCTCATTAGGCAGCAAGGAGTTAGAGACTAGATGGCGTTTAGTTAGTAGGTTGGATAAGGCAGGGAGAGATACTGACCACTGTCTTTCTCACCCCTCCCACTCCCAAGCCCAGAGACTGTGGCCGCCCTGGCATCTCTACAGCTGCCTGCAGGCCGCACCATGAGCCCCCAGGAGGTGGAAGGGTTGATGGAGCAGACGGTGCGGCAGGTGCAGGAGACACTGAACCTCGAGCCACACGTGGCTCAGCACCTGCTGGCTCACTCCCACTGGGGTGCCGAACAGCTGCTACAGAGCTACAGTGACAACCCTGAGCCATTGCTGCTGGCGGCTGGACTGTGTGTCCCCCAGGCCCAGGTCGCTCCCACCCGCCCTGACCACTGTCCTGTCTGCATCAGCCCCCTGGAGCCCGACGAGGACTTGCCCTCTCTCTGCTGCATGCACTCCTGCTGCAAGGTGAGGCCCGCTAGCGTCTCTCTTGCCCCTGCCTTTCCACTTAACACCATTCCTTGCAAACTCATTTATTAACCTGGGCAATGTTGGAAAGTCTCTTAGTCCCTCTTAAATCAGTTTTGACATCTGTAAATGGTGCCACCTGCCTTGACTCTAAAAGGTGATTGATAGGATCCACTGATATATCAGTGGTTCTCAAACTTGGTTGCATCTTACAGTCACCTGTGGAGCTTTAAAAAAATCCTGATGCCCAGGTTATTCCCCCAGACAATTAAATCAGAATCTCTGGAGGTGAAACCAGGCATCCGAGATTTGGAAAGCTCCTCAGGTGATTCCAGTATCCAACTGAGTTTAAGACGTGACAGATGGGCTTACTAGTGTGGCTGTACAAAGTCCCTTGACATATATAGTATATGTATGTCATAAATAAAATAGATTATGTAAATAAACTAGGTCACAGAAAGTATATGTCAAGGCACTTTGTAAAGAGCAAGTGTTATTAAATTGTTATTAACTATTTTGTTTCCTTATCACCATTAAAGTCCCCTGATCTCAGAACATTAAGGAGCTCTGGTGGCATAGTGGGTAAGGCATCTGGCTGCTAACCTGAAAGTCAGTGGTTCAAACCCACCAGCTGCTCTGTGGGAGGAAGATGAGGCAATCTACTTCTGTAAAGATTTATAGCCTTGGAAACCCAATGGTGGTTGCTGTGAGTTGGAGTTGACTTTGTGCCAGTGGGTTGGGTTTGGTTTGGTTTGATCTCAGAACACTATCGCTTATCGTATACTCTCATTGAACACAAAATTTTAAAAAATGGTATAAACTAGAAAATAGCACAAGAGTCAGAATTATGGCAAGTTAGGGCTTGCTGCTGTCAAGCTGCAGGTGAGGAGTGAGTAGTCTCACTCAGGCCAGAGAAAGAGTGGGCCGACAGGCAGAGAACCAGCAGTGCTGAGTGCCTGACAGCCCCTGCCTCCCAGCTCTTTAGAACTGGTGCCAGGCCCAGACACATCGAGTTAACAGGCTGAGCCTCCTTGTTGCCATGATTGCTAGCTGCCTCTCCCAACAGCGTCTCTGTGTGGTGGGGGAATCGGACATGTGCATTCGCATGTGTGTGTGTGTGCTTTCTTCTACTTCACGCTCCTCTTCAAGCTACTTTCTGTGTACGGTTGTTTCTGTGCCCTTTTCCCAAGTTCTTAATTATTTCCTTTATACTTCCACTTTTTCAGTTAACTAATATTTGTCATGGACCTACTATGTGCATAGCAATGGGTGTTGTATGAGAGAGTGAAAAACTCCAAGCAAGCAGTGGCCTAAGAACTAATAACTCTGGCTAATACTTACGGAGCACTCCTTCTTGTCCAGGCATCGTGCCACATTATTTTACTTAATTCTTATAATAGTTTTATGAGGTACTCAAAAAAAAAAAAACTCACTGCTGTCGAGTTGGATCCAACTTACAGTGACCCCTCCTTGGCTTTCTGAGGCATTATCACTACGTAACTCTCTATGTCTTTCTCATCCTCAATGCTGCCATATTGGTCACTCACATTTGGTACATTGCCCTTCTCTTCACCCAAATCAATATTTATCTCTATCTATCTAACAGCACTCCCTCCCCTCCCCTCCCACCCCTGGTAACCAACAAAGAAGATGTCCTCCAATATATAAACCTTTCCTTAACTTTTACAATAACGGACTAATACAATATTTGTCCTTTTGTGACTGACTTATTTCGCTCAGCATAATGTCCTCCAAGTTCATCCACGTTATGCGGTGTTTTGCAGATTCTACATTATTCTTTAGCGTTGCATAGTATTCCATTGTGTGAATGTACCAAAGTTTGGTTATCCATTCCTCAGTTGTTGGACATCTAGGTTGTTTCCAAGTTTTGGCTATTGTAAATAGTGCTGCGATGAACATCGGTGTGCATATATCTGTTCTTGTTATGGCTCTCACTTCTTTAGGGTATATACCTAGTAATGGGATGGCTGGGTCAAATGGTATTTGTATTTCCAACTTTTGAAGGAATCGCCATACTGCTTTCCACAATGGTTGTACCATTTTACAGTCCCACCAGCAGTGTATGAGAGTCCCAATCTCTCCACAACCTCGCCAGCATTTGTTATTTTCTGTCTTGTTGAACTTTGCTACTAGTGCTGGAGCAAGATGGTATCTCATTGTTGTTTTGATTTGCATCTCTCTAATAGCTAATGATCGTGAGCATTTCTTCATATGTTTGTTGGCCGCTTGAATATCCTCCTTGGTGAAGTGTCTATTCATGTCTTCTGCTGAGGCATTATCACTACGGAAGTAGGTTGCCCAGTCTTCCTTCTGAGGAGTGGCTGGTGGGTTTGAACCACCAGCCCTCTAGTTAGCAGTCATATGCGTTAAGCACTATGCCACCAGAGCCAATTTTACAGATGGCAGATTGAGACACCTGGAGGTGAAGTACTCTGCCCAAGGTCAGGATTTGAGCTTTGTTGCCTCACTTCAGGTCCCTGGGTAGCACAGTTCACGTGCACACAGCAATGCCATACAAGAAAGGCCTGGTGATCTACTTCCATACTTATAAAAAATTACAAGATTATAACCATTGCAAGCCCTATGGAGCTCAGCTCTACTTTAAAAAGTGTGGGGATACTAGGAGTCAGAATTGACTTTGCTGCAGGGAGTTTGGTTTTTTTTTTGTTTGTTTGTTTGTTTTTTGAGTCTGACTTCTGGGCCCTCCCTCCACACTCCTTTGATAAGTGCAGTAAAGAAAATACAGTTGGGTATTGCCCTAGGAAGCACCTAAGGTTAGGAGTGGAGATGAGGGGTTTGTCAAGTACTTCCAACCGGCAAGTCAGGAAAGGCCTGTCTGACAAGTGATCTAGGGAAGAGTGTTCTAAAAAGAGGGAACAGCAAGCTTAAAGTTTTTGGGCTCAGTGGCTGAAGCACAGTTAGTGGTGGGTAGTAATAAGAGAGGAGGTTAGAGAAGGGGCCCGGGGCCAACTTGGGTGGTATTGATAGATAGTGGATTTTATTTTATGGGAAGCTGCTGGTGGGCTTTAAGTAGGGAATGGTACATGACTGACATTTTTAAAGAAATCACTTTGGCCACTGTGCAGAGATAAGAATTGGATGAAACGAGTGGAAGCAGGGACACCTATTAGGAGACTTGTAAAAAGAGGCAAGAGATAGTGGTCATTTGGACTTAAGAGGCAGTGGTAAAGAGAGAAGTGGACAGATTTGGAATACATTTGGAGGTAGCACTGACAGGGCTTAAGAAGGACAATTCTTGTGTTTGACCTGAGCATCCAGGTGGATGGAAAGTCATCTTTTACTGGGTTGGAGAAATGTCTGGTAGAGGTAGAGACCAGGGGTTTGCAGGAATGTGAATGTTGGCCATGGGATGTCAAAACTGCTTGTTGGACACCTGTGGAGACTAGCAAGTCAACAGTATTGTTTTGAATTTGAAATTAAGGAGAGAGACTTGGCTGGCATCACCCAGAGAGGGAGAAGCAGGCCTGGGGCACCAAGCCCTGACGTGCTCCCCCCGTAAAAGTATATGGACAGGGAGCCTGAAAATGTGACCGAGAAAGGCAGTGTGACAGAGTCCCAGCCCAGAGGAGCCTGTGAGTAAGTGACAGCTGAGTGGTGCAGAGGGCAGTATGGGAGTCAGAGCAGGGCGGGCCTGGGGCAGCTGGAGACTTCCCAGCATGAGCCTGGAGTGGCAGGGCAGCGGGTCTGCAGAGCGCGGGGAGGAGAGCGTGGGGAGGACTAGAAGAGCGGGGGGGGGGATTGTCTAAGAGTCTGAGGGGGACTTTGTCCTCCAGTGCAGTATCTTCCCCCCTTGGCTGCATTCACCTTTGTACCTGTAAGCATGAGCTCTGCGTTTGGAGAAATTTCTGTTTTTATGTGAAAAATGCAAGATTTTTGCATACAGCTTCCCAATTTATCTGAGTCTGTTTCAATATTAAAAGGTTTTGCTTTGTTTCATCTTTTCCTTCGAGTTAACATAGTCTAGTAAGGTGTTTCATATTTATTCTCTAGCTTTGATAGCACGGGTCCTCCTTCTCTCCTGGGGGTTTATATCCATCATTCTGAGAGGATGGCAGTAAGTCATGGCAGGGGAACAGGGTCGTTAATGGAGTATTTTAGGAGGCGCAGGCTGCTGACCATGCACAGACCGAGTGGATTTAGTGGGGGAGAGACAGCCATTCATCAGGACAAGCTCTTGCCATAGCTTGGGGGTGAGGGGATAAAGGCCTGACCTAGGGCAGGGCAGTGACGTGGAGCAAATGAAGAATTCAACAGACCTGAAGGTTCTGACACTGGTGACTAGGGCAGTGGTGGTGCCATCGATCAGGTTATGGGGACTGCAATGGGCAGGCCTGTTCTGTGAAGAGGCTGAGGCTGTTCTAGGCATGGGTCCAGTGAGATGAGAGCATCAAGACAGAGGCAGTGGAGATAAACAGATGGAACGTGGAGGGTGACCACAGCAGCGATTGCAGTGTGAGGAGGCCGGCCACCCAGTGGGGTAAAGGTGCCCCTGCTCCAGGTATCCTCTCTTGCTGACTTTCTTGCTCTCTCCAAAGTTCCTTAGAACTTGAATCCTCTTTCTTCTCCCATTTTTTTGATTCTCTTTTACCCGTTCTCTTCATGTCTATCTGAAAAGTAATTATGCTAATACCCCAGCCCAAACATCCTCAAAGCCAATCCTGGGAAAACCTGTGGAAGCTGGAAAGATTCAGGTTGGTATTGAGGCTGATCTAGAAGCAGGTTTGTCTCTGGCCTTCCAGGTCATTGTGTGGGGAGGGTGGGGGCAGGACGCAGGTTAGTCATCCAGGACACCTTCATCTCGTGCTGCTCCCATGCCACCTCTGAGCAGCCCCTCCATTGTCCCTCCTCAGTCTTGCTGGAATGAGTATCTGACAACTCGAATTGAACAGAACCTTGTGCTGAACTGCACCTGCCCCATCGCCGACTGCCCTGCCCAGCCCACCGGGGCCTTCATTCGTGCCATCGTCACCTCTCCAGAGGTCATCTCCAAGGTATCCACTCTCCTCCAGGAGAGGTTCCAGTCAGAGCCAAAGGGGCAGCCCAGAGAGCGGGCTGACACGTGGGGTGCTGGGAGGTGAGGAAGGGGCTGACGTCCTGGAGACCCATGCCCTCACCTCGTGGCACCCTTCTCCCGCAGTACGAGAAGGCCCTCCTTCGTGGCTACGTGGAGAGCTGCTCCAACCTGACCTGGTGTACCAACCCTCAGGGCTGTGATCGCATCCTGTGCCGCCAAAGCTTGGGCTGTGGGACCGCCTGCTCTAAGTGTGGCTGGGCCTCCTGCTTCAGCTGTAGCTTCCCTGAGGTAGGTGCCCACCCAGCCCTGACTGTGAACAGGGATTCACACACCTCCCTTCTCCACCCCACTGCCATGCACACTGACTCAGACTTGTCCTTCCTCACCTCTTGCACCCAGTTGAGGGCTTTTACTCCTCCACATGTGGCCTGTGCCTTCTCCCTCCTTACCCTTGTATTCCAGCAGTGCCACCCTCAGTAAGGGCCCTGTGGGACCTCACCACCCCCTCCTACTCTAGGCACACTATCCCGCCAGCTGTGGTCACATGTCTCAGTGGGTCGATGATGGTGGCTACTACGATGGAATGAGTGTGGAGGCCCAGAGCAAACACCTGGCCAAACTCATCTCCAAGCGCTGTCCCAGCTGTCAGGCTCCCATTGAGAAGAACGAGGGGTGTCTGCAGTAAGAAGGGGGTACTGTGGGCAGTGGAGTGGTCAGAGGGCAAGTGGGAGATCTGCGAGGGTGGGAAGACTGGCAGTAAAGAAGGGGCAGTGGGACCAACAAGGGTCCTCACCCACCTTCCTGTAGCACCCTCCAGAGTGAGTCCCTGGATCCCACTTCAGTCTATACTGCCTGGGGAATGCAGAAGCATGGGTGCATTCAGTAGGGATGGCATGGGGAAGGGACAGAGGCCAGGGCATCTTCAGTGGCCTCCAGGGCCTTGGCATTCCTGGTGCAGTCCTGCCAGAGGCAGGAGCCCTCTGACCAGCCAGCTTTCTCCATAGCATGACCTGTGCCAAATGTAACCATGGATTCTGCTGGCGCTGCCTCAAGTCCTGGAAGCCAAATCACAAAGACTACTACAACTGCTCTGCCATGGTAAGGAGTGGGCACTAGATGAGGCAGAGGACCACAGCAGTCAGGATGCATGCCCAGCCCTGGGCAGAAAGAGGCTTTGTATCCAGGGCAGCCTCCTAGCTGCTGGGACAAAGGCTCAGTGCAGAGGAGACAGAAGGACCTGGGGTACAGCGGCTGGGAGTTCTAGCCAAGGCGGTCTGTTCACAAGGGCCCTGCAGCTCCAGAATAGGGCTCTCACACAATGGCTACAGAGAGGGCAGAAGGACTGGGCATTTTCAGGGCAGAGCGGAGACAAGCAGGGATTCTGGAGGCAGATCCTGGCCCCACCATGCAGAGTGTGGCTATGAGCAAGTCAGTCTACTCCAAGCCTCAGAGTCTTCGACTGTGAAAGGAAATAATGGTAGCACTTCCTAACGTAGTTAGGAGGGTTAGATGAAGAAACTTGGGTAAAGTGTCATCAGTGTAAGTTAGAAAGTGCACGATAAACTCCATAAATGGTAGCTCTGTACTTAGGAACTCCATCCTGTCCATGCCAAGCGCCCAGTAACACTCACCATGTCCTGCCCAGGTCAGCAAAGCTGCTCGCCAGGAGAAGCGGTTCCAGGACTACAATGAGAGATGCACCTTCCATCACCAGGCCCGGGTGAGCAGGCAGGCAGTGGGCCAAGAGGTCTGAGGATGGACGCCAACGTCTGGGGACAAGTGGGGTGCTGCACTGATGGGTGGGGCTGCTCCTGCTGATACTGACACCCTTCCTCCGGACAGGAATTTGCTGTCAACTTGCGGAACCGGGTATCTGCCATCCATGAGGTGCCCCCGCCGACATCCTTCACCTTTGTCAATGATGCTTGCCGGGGACTTGAGCAGGCTCGAAAGGTTGTGGTGGGTGGCAGGCAGGGGAAGGCAGTGGGTTAGGCTCTTTTTATCCAACTGCCTATAAGGAGGGAATGAGAAGCAGCAGGGAGGTGCCTAGCCCAGGTAACGGGAGGTGCCTAGCCCAGGTAACGGGAGGGCTGGCCTGCGCTCCCCCAGGTGCTGGCCTACACCTGCGTGTACAGCTTCTACAGTCAGGACACCGAGTACATGGATGTGGTGGAGCAGCAGACTGAGAACCTGGAGTTGCACACCAACGCCCTGCAGATCCTCCTCGGTGAGGCCCCGGCCCAGCCTCCACCTGTGCTTCCCCGCCTGCCCTCCTCTCTCCCTCTGCCCTGGGCACCCCGCCCCCCACACCACCACCTCCACTCTGTCCTCTTACTCCTCTTCAGAGCCTTTTCCCATCTGGCTTTTTAAAAAGTGCGTGCTGTGAGTGCCTCCGCGCACAGGCCTTATACCTAACATTTTTTTTTTTTTTTTGGCTGAACAAATAGGAGTTTATTCTCTTACAGTTCTGGAGGCTAGAAGTCCAAGTCCAAAGTGCCAGGCTCTAGGGGCTATGTGAAAGCTCCTCGACCTTGGGCTTCACCTCTGCCTCTTGCTCCTGGCCCGCTGAAGCTAGAGGCATCTCTTCACTCAGGCAGCTACTGGCTGCTGAGTTTAACAAGCAAGGTCAACAAATAAAATGGCACAGTCCCAATGTTACCAAACCACACGGCAGGCCATTAATTCAAGTCCATTTTAAGTCCCAAACGACACGGCTACCTGCAAGGTTCAAGTGTGCCATAAGCTGGAGACCATTTCCAAAGCTGCTTCTTATATACAGGAAGCAGACCACATGCCCAAAGCAGCTACTCAGCTGCTCCAATAGATTCCACTATGGAGTTAATTACCAATCTCACCATGGGGAATAACTACATCCAGCTGCCCAACCACTCAACCAGGCCTAGCCAAGTTGACACACAGACTTAACTACCACAATGCCAATACACTTGTGGAAACATTGTCTGCCAACCCTATCCATGGTCTTGGCACACTGCCCCCCTGCACAGACATACCTAAGAGTTCAGCCTGTCCACCCATCTATCCACCTGTAGATCAATATCTGCCTTCACTGACAATGCAGTACTGTATGTGCAAAAGGGTTCATCTTTGTTGTCTGTATCTCTTAGGCATCTCTCCATGTCTTCCTATTCCTCAATGCCACTGTGTTGATCACTCACATTTGGTTCATTGCCCTTCTCTTCACCCAAATCAATGCTTGTCTCTACTTATGTAATAGTGTCCCCTCCCCTCCCCTCCCACCCCTGGTAACCAATAAAGAAAATTTCCTTCCATAGATAAATCTTTCCTTTCCTTTTTACAATAATGGACTAATACAATGTTTGTCCTTCTGTGATTGACTTATTTCACTCAGCATAATGTCCTCCAAGTACATCCATGTCATGCAGTGTTTTGCAGATTATACATTATTCTTTAGGGTTGCATAGTATTCCATTGTGTGTATGTACCATAGTTTGGTTATCCATTCCTCTGTTGGTGGGCACCTAGGTTGTTTCCATCTTTTTGCTATTGTAAATAGTGCTGCGATGAACGTGGGTGTGCATGTATCTGTTATTGTCCTGGCTCTCACTTCTTTAGGGTATACACCTAGTAATGGAATGGCTGGATCAAATGGTATTTTTTT